ACATACGACGCTAAACGGGAGATCAGATCAGGCAGAGCCAGAGTTGGCACCTGAAGAAGTCTTATCATAATGAGATCAAAGTCCCGTGGTCGGTATTCCAACACCATTCCACATCCTTGTTAAGGAGATTTGACAATGGCCTAGCCACTTCCGCATAGTTGTGGCTATACTTGTGCAAGTAATAATTTGCCAAACCCAACCACTTGCGTAGGTACTTCTGGTTCCTCGGAACCGGCCAATCCACTATGGCTTTGACCTTAACAGGGTCTGCCCGGATTCCTCGCTTCCCAATGAAGCATCCCAAAAAGGAAATCTCTTCCGCAACAAAGATGCATTTGTCAATAATGGCACATAACTTATGCATCCTCATGCAACCGAGCACAGCTCGCAGGTGCTCGATGTGATTCTCCACATCGGTCTTGCCATTTTAGGCTCGACTATGAACGAATATATCGTCAAATTATGTCTGTGCATACGCCCTATGGGGCCGAAACAACTGCGTCATTAGACGATTAAACGTTTCAAGTGCGTTAAATAGCCCTTGGGGCATCACTAACCACTCCCAGAGCATACCGCTCGGAGTACTGACCGCTGTCAGCGGGATATCACTAGCTCGCATGAGCAGTTGGTGTTATCCATCGACTAAGTCGAGGGCACTGTACATCGTACATCCCACCGTATTGTTCTGAAGAACATCCTTGCGAGGAATCGGTGCTTCAGCCGGGACAGTGGCTGCATTCAGCTTATTGTAAGCATGCACTATTCGCCACTTCCCATTAGGCTTTCTCACACAAAACGTGGGCGTAGAGTGAGGAGACTTACTCTCACGCACCATTCCAGCCGCGTGCTTCGAACGAAAGAACTCGTCAATGACGTCACATTGTTCTCGTGGCAGCGGCCACTGTCGCGTCACACAGTATTTGGTTCCTGGAACCAATTCAATCTCATGACGTACACCTCTATCCGGGGAACCTCGTAGGAGATTCTCTGGAGACAACATCTCCATATTCCTTCAACAAAGGAAAGTATGGATCCAATGGGTCCATCAGGATCTGCGATCCACTACGAGCATTCAGCGCCTTCTTGGTATCCTCAAGTACTGCTTTGTCCAAAAGCGATGAGGAGCTTAACTCCTCCTCAGGTCGTATAACGACCACTTTGGCGATGTCGCCTGCCTTTAAGGCAATGCCAAACTCGGCAAAGGTTAACTCGTCCGACAGAGCACTTACTGCGGGTATTGCTGAAAGAGCCACCGGGTCTTCAACATCCCCAGTCAAACCATTGACGAGTGTATATAGCTGTTCGCAATCACCGTCACTCGTGATATCATCATCGCTACTCATGATGCTCTCAGCATCTGACGCATCAGCGTCCACAGGTCTACACACCTCAAGGTCAAAGACCACTTCGTTTACTGACTGCACCCCACCCTCTTGGGTCAGTGCCTCGTCATGAGGTGTTTGCACCTCGTTGTCCTCAAAGACAGCCGTCATTTTTGACTTCACCCGACCATCTTGGGCCAGTAGCTCTCGTCGCTAGGTGTTGCACCTCGTTATCCTCAAAGAAACATCCATTGATGACTTCACCCGACCCTCCAGGGTCAGTACTTCGTCGTTAGGTGCATGCACCTCGTTGTCCTCAAAGACAACATCCATTTGTGACTTCACCGGCCCTCCAGGGTCAGTTACTTGTCACTCATGTCACTTGGACTCATGTTCTGACATCTTGGCTTGCAGCCACCAACACCACTCACGGTGTTTAATGATGTAACATCATTCTCATGACACATGTCATATGTTCCATCTAATGGCCACACTATCGACAGTCATTGGGCCTCACCCAGGACTATTGTCCTCGGCACTTACAGTGTCTACAAAGTCGGATATTCCGACATCCAACATATTGACCGACTCGGTCCAATATCCGCGCCAAAAGCGCTTTTGCTTCCTAGCAGAGGTGGGTTCATGACTCTCCAGTGCCCCCCAGGGCATTGCGCGTCGCGCCTAAGGTCTTCGACCTCCAATCAATCCATGGCTCATGACGTTCTAGACATGCCATGCCTAGGATGAGGTCATACCTCGCATCCAGGTCTAAGACCAAATAGCGTTCCATGCTGTTAAAGTCCAAGACTTTACATTTTAGTCCATCGGGACTTTGAGTACCATAACACGCGTACCTGCCGCTAAGCGAACTGTGACTGTGTCACTTTCACGTGCTACAAGTGCTTCAGCATACAGCTGACTGTCTTCTATGGTATCACGGCGCACATAATTGCCCAATGCCTCCGATTCGATCAAAATGATCCATGGCTTATCAAAGCCCTTAACCGTCCCTTCGACGACCATCAAGCCTGGCCTGCATTCTCGTTCCGTTTAAGATAGTTAGGGTTCCTTTGGGTCTAGGTCCTGTTTACGTCTACCTCCTAGAGGTTCAACAGAACTCATTTCTTCCCCCAGTAGGGCGCCCGCGCCTACTGGGTTCCGCCTTTTCCCTCAGCAAACTAGAGTGTTTACTCATGAGGCGTCGACCCTTCGAGGCCAAATATACCGTTCTTGCAAGACATTTTGCCATCAAATAGCCTGTGTTCCTGCAGATATTACATCTGCGCACAATTTGCTGCTCCGCAGCATGAAGCTCATATTCTTCTTCCCCCACTTGACTACAGTACATGGGTACAGACCCATCAGACGAATAGTTATAAGTGGCAGGCCTAGCGGCCTTAAAGTTGGTCTCGGCATTCCATGCCACTCCAGCAGCTTCCTCGAATGAGGACGGGTTTACCCGGAAGACTTACGTTCTGAAAACGCCAGCTCGGAGGCCCTCCATGAAGACCGTGACGGTCACTTCCTCAGGCTGAGGGTCTATGACCATGGCAGCAATAAGAGCTCTCAACCCCTGCAATTATACTGCAAGCTCACGCTTGCCTTGGAAACACGCCTGAAAACGCTACCGATTACGGTGTGCTTGGTTTGTCGGTGCATACTTCCGGGTCATCTGAACTTTCAGATTGGCCCCTGTGGGTAATGCATCTTGCAGTGATGCACCACATGTGAATGCCCACTGTTTGGCTAAATCACCCAAAATATCCGTGACAAAGCCAACACGGCACGGTTCATAGGTGATGTCGCGTATAAACATAGCCGACTCAACCTGTAGGAACCACAGCATAAGGTTGTCACCTTCTTGTAGTCGAACTTATCGACTTCCATTTGTACGGGTTTTGGTCTGCGGACCACTTCTTGCGCCATAGTCGCCATGGGCGAAGGCGCAGAAGAAGGCATCTGTGCCTTTACATGCTCGACTAGAGCTTTATTATACTCATCAAGCATATGAATACGCTTGTTAACCTCTTCTTCGACCTGGGCGATGAGGTACTTCACGCCCTTAAGGCCAACGATAGGGAGCAGTTTCTGCAACCCTTCCTGTTGTGCCTGTGACAGTCCAACCACTGACATCTCATCGATGTCCATTCTCGCACAGAAAGTAGTCGCAAACCCAGGTGCGGGATTGACTACGAGTGCCACCCGGTGTAGCCGAGCTACTGTAGCCAAGCTACTTATGCACTATGTGAAGAGGAAGACAACCTCAAAAATTTATACGTCTTAGGGTGCTTAACCCTTCCAAGGCTAGCTCGTAAGCTTGTGCCTATCGGTTGTTACAACTGGGTCTCCAAGAGACTAGTTTCAAAGATACAATTCCTCAGGAGGAATAGTACGCTCAAGCAGTGATGCTTATAGAGCCGGTTTGAAACTGATTTATATTTATGTTTATCTTCTAACACTATGGAAGCACCTACTCTATACTTAGTGCTAGTCACTATTTACTGTCTCTATAGCCTATTATTATGCAAACATGTATAGTCACTATACTTAACTAAGCATAGTGACCACGTACGATGCGACCCTTTGTACTTTAGGTACGGTCACATTGAGCCCCCAAGGTACAGCCGCACCACATCAGTGTGGCAGGTGTGTATGTAAAATACACACCTTCGTGTAACCAACCCCCTTACATTTTTAGTCCTTGTGTTAGGAATTGTATCTTTGATACTAGACGTGGTTGTTACAACCAAAAGGCACAAGCTTGTAAAGCTAGCATTGGGAGGGTTAAGAGCCCTAAGACATACAGTTCTTGAAGCTTGTCTTCCTCAGGACTTCGTGCATAAGTAGCTTCGCTACAGTCGCTCGGCTACATCTTTTTGCGCGTACCGAGGATGCTGAAATCTTTCGAACAACATTAGGTGTCTTAAGGATATCTTTCAATCGATCACCATGATTGAAGGCAAAAACACTCCGAAAGCTTTGCAAAGTAGTGGTATAGAGTGATGCAGGTTTATTGCAGACAAGTGCGCCAGAAAATCGGTTACGGACAGAGGATGCGCCGAGGTTGGACAAATTGCTTCAACGATCGGTTTGAAAAACGATCGAACTTTGACGATAGTGAAGCAAGAATCTGCTGCTTTGTTATGGAAATGTATCAACGAAAAGGAGTGGTAAAAGGCAAGTTTCGACATGTGAACTAATAACACGGCGCGAGTATCGATTACGGGCTATCTTGTTTGCGTTGAGCTGATTAGTTTAGGATACAGACTTGAGGCTGCTAGGAAATAAGAAAGTCAAAAACTCTTCCTCTTATACATCTCAGTGTGCAAGCTCTGGTCATTCCGTTTGATTTCAACTTCGAATAGTTGGTGATATGTCAGGGTAACAATGCAACACTGGCGCAGTGAGCCATATACATGTGCAGTGTCTCGTAGTGTGGCATCCCAATACCTGCAATAAATGTTTGGGCTACGACTACAACCTGTGATCATTGATACTCAGCCGGGTTTTAAGCAATAAACTTTACTTCAGCAATATCGTGATCACTCGTTACAGTTATTCTGGTCCATTGAACGTCTGTGCCACGTCAACAATCATGGAAACTAGCCTGCAGAAAGCCTGGCGAACAGCAGCAGGTCCGTATCTTTGATTCCATGTATTATCAATGTATCCAACGTAATGGCTTCTCGACAATGTCGTGTCATTCTCTTTAGTATTGAAACACTCCAAACTAAATCAAACGCTTCTGCAACGTTTTTTCCGTTCGACACAGAAAAGTTGGCTCGAGCTGATTTTCTCCTCATTGCAACAGGCGCAGGCTTTTCTGCCGATTCTTCATTGCCAGTTTACACGTGCGAAATCGTGTCAACTCTTGCAACAAGTATTGTAAACTAAACTGTAAATGTCTGTATCTTTTTCTGTAACTACATCAGGGACATCGCCAAAGTAAAAGCGTACGATGAAATGGGCGTGGAGTACCATGATTTGTGTGATCCTCACATGCTGGAGCAGGACGAAGAGGTTTTCTACGGCTTTTGGGGCAGCTGCACTAATTTGTACAGAGATACAAAACATCATCGAGGATACGACATTTTACTCAAGTGGAGAGATACAATTCGAGCTAAAGGCACTAAGGAGAACGGTCACCACGTAAATGAAAAGAGAGTAAAGTTTCAAGCTACTTTTAACCGCTTAAAGCAGTGTAACGCTCTTCCAGCTGGAGTGACGACCAATACCGTAACCAACGACCCGTTTTTCGTCTACACATCAAACGTAAGGAGTGTTGATGGCAAAGATGCAAACAGCTTTGCCATTGTTTTTGGATTATTGCGGGGTCTGACAATGACGAATTTTGTAGGTTGACTCGCACTTTAAACGAGATTTTGACGACAAGGAAGTGTATGAACTACATGGTAGTGTGGAGACGTGGCAATGTGCAGGCGATGTTGAAACTGGCGCTCGAGAGCCATGTGGGAGGATTTGGACGCTGCCTCTTGATTTTCGCTTTAATGTTGACGAGGCGACAATGAGAGCGCCGGGGGCAAAAGTCACGACATGTTCAGAGTGCGGAGGCAAAGGACGACCAAATGTGCTCATGTTCCATGATCGCCAATGGGTTGCAAACGCACTGGAAGAGGTACAGTGTAGGGTAGAAACACTCTCTTGCATTGGGTTGTGCGCGATACTTATCCTTCTCAACGTACTGGATGCTGTAGAACGTCTACATTGCGTGGGAATCCGTGATGGAAGTGGTACGTTAGAAATGGTCGATTGCTTCTTATTCTGTACTATTAACAATTGGATTATTGCTGGGTGATATACGTTACAGATGCTTAAAGAAGATCCAAGACTGAATCTAGTCGTGCTTGAAATGGGCTGCGGAACACGGGTTCGTAATCGAAGAAAGCATGTGCTTGCTATACCGTTGACAACTTTGGTGCACTAGGTTCCATCAGTTCGACGAGAAACCGAGATGGTTGTTGCGGATGTGATTGAGAGCTGCAATCGTCCCCAAGCAACACTCATACGAGTCAACCCTGACAAGCCAAGTTGCGACAACCCACTTATTATTTTGAACAATGGGTTCCTCTCCATTCAATCGAAAAGCCTAGAATCGTTAGAGGGTATTGACCGAGAACTCCGCAATCTCCAGCAGAAGGTCTAAAGAAAGTGTAGTACAAAACAACATAAAAGGCTTTGAAGAGTCGTATCGCCGCAGGTTTTTTGACATTGATGTTGAGCCTTAACCTCACGAACTGTTCTTGGCCCTCAGTTAGAAATCGCTCTTTGCATGAGTTGGCATTGAGTACATCGTTAACGTCCCGGGCTGCTGCGTTACAGTTGCCTTGATCTTTAGTGAGACAGAACGAAAGGTTTGTGGATTCATATCCCCGCATTTTGGTTTCATGAAAACAATCGGTTCCTGCGTCATGGTGTGACCCAGCTGCACACCCGTGACAGGTATGTGAGTGGTGCATCCGAACTATAAAACGATGGACTTGAATAAACAAGTTTTACGTGTCCAAATCGTGTTGAATATATATCAGTGCACTTTGCTTCAAACGGTCGTCGTCATGAACTCCAGTGGTCTACAATAAGCGTCGGCGATCTCAACAATTTCATGCTAAACAAAAGGCCATCGCGTTTACTCATTGCATGTCATTTGCTCCGTCGTTATCATCTCACTGTCAACCCAAACGAAGAAGCAAAGACTACTTCATGCTTATATTAAGCTTTTCTTTCCACGTTGCCATGAGTGCAGCTTCCTCGCTCTGATATGTGCATTTCATCTCACGTTAGAGATCAGTTACATTCGCAATTAGCTGGTAGGTCATGAAGTGCTTACCGCGTTGAGAGACACTTCCTTTTGCAGGATTGTGTTGAACATGTCTTCAGTGAGATTGTCATACACTACGCTGTCTCCAGCGATGACAAGTCCCGCGAGTTCAGCTACGGCAATTCGCAGACGTCCAGCAAAAGTTGCTGACGTGTCCGACTCGGACGCACTGTCGGGAAACAAGCCAACACCATTCTCACATTGTGCGTGACGTGGGAAGATGAACACTGTCATGCCTACAATAAGAATGTTGTGCGGGATACTTTGGGACTGCAAGAGCTCGAGAAGTGTCCACGCAATCTCCACGACGTGTGCCCCACCGCTAGCTGAGTCCTCAGGCTCAACGACGTAGCAAGTCGTTTTCCAATCAAGCATATGCTTTACAACTACTCCACCGACACGAAACATTTCGTCTCTTACTTGAGTTGCCACCGGAAAGTTTGCACTCACCCGACTTTCAATATGAGGAAAGAAGTAGCCTTGTAGGTGGAAGTGATTTACAGATGACCAAGCCCCCGCACTGTTGAACCCTGTGAGCATTTTGGTTTAGTATAGCGTCAATGTGTAAGTTTGAGCACGTGATACGTACCCAAAGCAAAACATTCACGCTGGATTGCTTGGGAGATGCTAAGAGCGTATTGCATGAATTTCTTTGTCATTGTCTGCGGTTTCACACGGTTTAGCTCGAGTACAAACAACATGTGGCCCCGGACCTGCGGCAGAGTTAGCAATAGTTTAATCTTACAATCCTGGACTACACAAACAAAAGCTTTTCGTACCAAGGGAGCCACATTAACCAGAACAAAGTGCTCCGGTTCTTCCTTACGAGCATCTCTCATATCAATGGCCTGCACAAGAGAAAGATGGTGCTCGTCGCCCATCCCGAAACGCAAGCCACATAGGAACTCCTCTTTCCTGAACATTACGTGGGTAAAAGGCTTCGATTGCATGAATATTCAAGTAGGTTTTCATACTTGGCCAGGGTGAAATTGAACCCCATTGCTTTCGGTTTGGTAGAAGTTTCGTCAGTCGATGGTTTTGCTAGCAGTGGGTCCACTGGCCGTTTACTCTGCGCATAAGAAAAAGAAAGACTTTCCAGTATCCTCCATAGTGCTTCGTTGTGTCGACTTGTCGTACTTACCTTGAGATGACTCGGATTGAATTGAACAACAAGTCCCAAGGTTCCAGGGACACGACGACGTATTGTGTCATCGATTCTTGTGCGCATAACACCTGGCTCAAACTTGTGACACAATCTCGATCGTTATTGCATCATCTCCTATGATGTTATCGTCAATATACAAACAAACTTACAAACACGACACGGTCCCATTGACTCAGCAGTAATTCATCCAAGTTTGTCATAGCCATCACGTTGTTTCTTTGGTCATAAAGCCACGCGTCAGTGGACAGTCCATACCCACGGTTGTGACAGCATCTTGAACTTTAAGATTGCAAATGTCCAGTGGCTTCTGCCTTAACTCAATCGAGTCCCTCTCTACGATGATGATGATATACATGTGCTACGTTAAGAATCAAGTGACTGTCGGAGGATAGATTCAATACGTATTGATACAATACACTACTAAATTGAAGTTGATGTGTAGATGTGTTTGCGTGAATCTATCTACATGTCGATAAAGTTAATAATATAGGAATACTGAATGCTGTACAGCACACAGTAAGCTAAGAAGTACCGTCATCTTCATGGAATGAACAGCCCAAAGACCGTCTTGGATTATCTTGATATCAATGAAAACATGTTATTTTTACTAGTCCTTATCTAGTCGACTCGCTACTATATTGCAAATTTGGTGGCGGTGATTCTTGTCGCTAATTATTTTGGCAAATGTGTTCGCTAGCAGAGAAAATGACCCAGGTCTGTCATGTTTGGACATGATTCAATTACAATCAAGTGATTAGTATTGTGTGGACAAGTACGGGATACGAATGGACGACGAAGCATGATAATCATTTTTGTTGAAGCTGCATTTGGTCAAATTTGAGTCTGGTTCATAAAAATAGTATAGCAGCTATCGTTTGTGCTGTAACGATTCTTACTGGTTGAAAAGGTACAATTGATACACTTGGTCTAGTACACATAAAGCTGACGTTTTTACATCAAATAGGACGTTGCATTTCAAGTCATGAGTTCTCTTCGTCTCCATAACCTCTTTAGTGTAAAAGATAAAGTGGTGATTATTACAGGTGGTGGTCGTGGTATCGGCAAAATGATGGCTGATGGTTTTGTACAGAACGGAGCTCGAGTATATATCGCCTCCCGTAATTTGAAAGCGTGTACAGCTACAGCCCAAGAGCTGACTGCTAAAGGCCCGGGACAATGCATTCCCGTATGTCTCGACTATACAATGCTCTTCATTGCAAAATTGCAATTGAAACTGACGTAGTAAAGGTGGTGTATACAGCTGCAAGCGAATCTGATGAGCGAGGCTGGTTGCAAGGATCTTGCGGCTGAGATCGCCAAAAAGGAGAGTAAAGTGGACGTGCTCATCAACAACTCAGGCGCTTCATGGGGTGGAGACTTTGAGCATCACCCAGAGTCCGGTATGAATACGCTACGGATTTACTTGCTCTGACAGGAGTTCATTTGGGGGAGAAAGTTGTTTTGTGGCTAACTGTTGTTGCTGCTAGCTTGGAATAAGGTCTTGACGGTAAATGTGACGTCGCCCTTCCATCTTACCAAGTTCCTCTTGCCGCTTCTTGATGCTGCTGCAAAGACGTCAGAGGCTGCACGTGTCATCAATGTTGGGTCAGTGGCTGGGCTCGTGCCGCAGCAGATTGACACCATTGCGTACGACACGTCCAAGGCTGCGATCCATCACATGACGCGCGTACTGGCGGCCAAGCTAGCGCGTCGTCCGAACGGTGGCCACATTTTGGTAAACGCAATTGCGCCAGGAATTGTGCCGTCCAAGATGTCCAAGGGTATTTCAATGGTCACGGGTCTATCCATGGACGACCTTGCGACGAGGATTCCTATCGAGCGATTAGGCCAGGATTCTGATATGGCTGGACTTGCCATTTTCCTGTCGTCCAAGGCGTCAGGATGGATTACTGGTATGGTGATTGCATCAGATGGTGGGCAAGTCTACACGATGGAGACTGGTATAGGGCGCGCTAAGCTGTAGGCACAAAGATACTAAAGGTACGGGTTCTGATGATATGCCTAACGACCTACGTTCCAGTCAGCAAGTATGTGCTAGGTGGCATTCGTACTGTATCCGCTTCAGCATGGAACTCACAGTGACTAACGAGAAAGAGACACACATACTAACAGTACTTCATATTTCCCATGGATGAAGAAACATCCTCCTTTTCCATCTAACGAGTCGGTCAGTCTAGTCGGTCACGGTAGCAATATTTTAAATCCAATGTAAACAACCCCTTACAAAAAGATTAAAAATCGATAATTCTTGCCATAAAACTGTAAAAAGCATGAATCGCTTTGCTTTCTTAGTATACACGTTTTGCTTACAAAAAAAAGTACTTTATATTCTACGTCCCAATATTGACATAGAGCAAGCGAGCGCACACCAATCATCATCTAACGATGGATGGAGCAAGCAATAGCGTCTTTCCTTCACCATCAATTGAAACATCACGACGTCCACGTGGTCGTCCTCCAAGCCGTTCATGGGCTTTTTTTACAACCATTACAGAACCTCAGAAACAACCATCAGCTGTCTGTCGTCATTGTAATCAATTGATCCATCACCGTCAAAAATGGGGTCAAGCACGTACCCATTTAATGAAATGTGCTCAATTTTTACGTCTCATGGATACAATTCCAGCCAATGAAGTACCTGAATGGTACATTGCTGAGATTAATCGACGTCAACAACTCTTCAGTCGCAGTAAAACAGTATCAATGGCTACAATTTCAGGGTATCAGACACACGTGTTGACTTCGACGGACTCAGATTTCACAAAATTTGGGGAATCAACCCAAATGAAAAGTCATTTTGGGGATCACAATATTGCAATAAACAAGCCAATGATAAGCAAGAATATCGCAACAATGGAGGAAAAAGTGGCAATGCATTTCTTCACGACCATGTCAATGGAAAACTTGATCCAAGGGAAAACAATAACAATGGCATGTCCATTCTTACTAGAAACGCTTCAAATGTCGAGTCCAGAGTTTGTATGGCCAAAGAAGGAGAAAATCATGACACAATTGCTTGATCAATGTGTTAACAAGGTTCAAGAACGAGTGGATGGATATTTGAAAAGTGGAGTAGTGCCAGTGACATTGTCCTTTGAAGCAATAACGATAAGGTCCGAGATCAACGATGTGATTGTGCGCTATATGGTTCATTTGGCCAGTTTGGAAAAGTATCCCATGTATTTAGAATCAGTCAAAGTACCAAGTAGTAGAGAACATCAAGGTGCTGACGTTGAATGGAGCGTGAGAGATGTAGGAAGGATGGTAAAGAAATTATCATGTCCCGTTGCAGGGTGTGTAATGCCCTGTTCAGTAACAGGAAGCCAGCGGATACGAAACCTGCTCGAGGAGCGTTTTCCAGCCATGTACTTTCATGGATGCTTGCGAGATGCGTTGTGGTCGATTGTTCGAGACATTTTTACGGCTAGTAACACAACAGATAGGGAGCACAGTATTGTCGCGCCGTTCGTTCAAGATTTACAACAATTTGCACTGCAGTGTAAAGATCTGGCAATCTTCTTGCTGAACCAAGAAAATAAAGCTCATTTCGGCGAAGCCATTGCGATCAGCAGTGAAGTCATACACGTGTCTGTGCGGCAACGCTTAACTGTCAAAGAGGCTTTTCTCGCGATTCTTCAAGCTGAACCCTTTTTGGATGTCGATAATGTGCTGAATCAGCTCTTTCCTGCAGCTTTAAATGGCAACACTTCGGCTGAGTCGAGTCACCGAACCAATATTGCACATTTACAGACTCAGCTTGTTAAAATACTGCGCAGTCCACAATTTGGAGAGAATTTACGCAAGTTTTTAGAAATGCTACGTCCTGTGTACAGGCTACTGGAATTATTAGGCGATGATACTGATACAACTTCGCTGCAACTCTCCGAGGTTCATTCTTCTTTCTCAAGGCTAGCACAACAGTTTGCATCAAGTCCGCTACTAGATCCAGAAGAGAAGGTGGTTTTGCAACAGCTCGTCCGACATCATCAGGAGAACACGTTGGGCTTGGCACACCATTTGGCCAACCTGTTAGACCCAGTATTGTTAGGGAGAAAATTTGCCAGTGGACACGATGGCAAACGTGGAGCAAAAGCTAATGTCTTCGCTTCATGTCGATGGCACATCTTTTACTGACGCGGAGAATGAAGCATTGTATGCTCAGTATACGGATTTTAAGAAATTTGCTTTGAACCAGAAAACCAACAAGGCACAGACACTCGTTTTCCGCACATTGAAAGAGCGCGAGAAATCCCCTTTACAATTTTGGCTCGACGACGGTACCAAGTGGCCTCTATTGCAAGCTATCGCTTGCCGTATTTTTGTTATGCCAGTGTGCACGGCTAGTTCACGTATCGTTTCTGAAGCAGATGTAGCATTACAGCTCTTTCGTGAAAAGGCAGATTTTTTAACCAGCGATAAACTAGCGTATGTACGAATCAACACACAGACACTGTCTATGGCAGAGGAAGTTGGGAGCTCATTGGTGACGGTGGCACAGAAGCTGCATAGGGAAAGTATTGCTAACGATATTACAGCATCGATGGTAGTATGAATCCTGTTGTCGCGTTATACAGATAAGCCATTGCCGAAAAAGAGAAAGTATTTGTTGATGTATTTCGCAACTGTTTACATCATGAGGAGCTTCTCATCTGCCAAACAAAACCATTAGCATGTACATCGGACAGTTTTATGAAAAGGATGTCAAACCATTCGAACATGCGGAGCTCAACATATGGCTATGCACTCACGAAACACGAAGGTCAGGCGACCTTTGTACGTGCGCACAAAACTTCTATTGAAGTCGCAGTCGATGTACTTGAAAGTATTTGGCTTCCAGCCGCCGTCCAACTCGTCCATAGCCATGACTTTATATCGTGTCAAGACGGCTTTCATTTGAATTCCTTCCTCAACACGAGGTCGATAAGCGACTGCTTCGGAACCATCATAATACTTGCTGCATAAATGAGTCAGCAACGTTGAGTCCAATGCGTTTGCAGCCTAGCCAGCTCGATCAAATTTCAGTCCCCGCATCACTGCTAGATCTGCATCGCACATTCACTTTGTTCCAATTTGAACCTTCGACAAACAATATACTGTGAGCTCGACAGTGTGGTAGAAGGCATTCCCTCCACGAGGCTTCTTTTGAGCTTTACAGCTATCACACGCATAATGTCTCGAGTCCAATCGCGAAGAACACACACCAAGGCTGCTGAGTCTTAAGCTGCCACGACTAGTGTAGTGACTTTTGCTGAACTAGATGGCAGACCACTGACATACTCTTCACAAGTTTCTTCCATTGTTCAGCAGGTCGAGGAAATACATTTTGTCTGTCACTGAACAACTATCATGGGGACGTGGCGATAATAGTGCTGCTTATCACTGTGCACCGCTTTTGCTGATATCAGAATCCTGAAGGAGTCGCCATCGTTTTGAGTAGTCCACGTCGTCATGCGCGTGTCTGCTAGACTCCCGCAGGCCTTCAATTTCTAGTGATTGTGCATACGGTAGACGTCCAACAGGCTGGAAGGTATGAAGCGATGCCACAGGCGAAGCATTTACCAACGGCCCTCCACTAGCCGTAGAGACGAGCGAAAGATCCAGCGCTGAGGGACCGACAAGTGAAGATGGTCGGCCATGCGGCTGGTGCTGTAGACGAAGTTCCATGCTCGCTAGCTGCTTTATGAGTTCGTCTGCTTTGGTTCGCCATTCAACAACGTCTTCTTCTCTTTGCTTGAGGTTCGAACGCAACACCGCTGCTTCTTCGTTGGCAGTTTGGACACAGGTATTAGCCTCACGAAGAAGAAGCTCGCTGACCGCAAGCCGCTTTTGCAATGTAGTGGCGTATGTTACTGCACTAGTTTTGGCCTGCACCTTACGTTCGTGAGCTAACCGATTTGTTTCCTTCTGCATAGCCTCCATTTTCTCCTGAAGATGCGCCTCTTGCCGCCGTAAATCTTCTGCGTGTTTTTCCTTCGTTGCACATAGCTCTGCCTTCAGACTTACGTTTTCCACCGACAGTTTCTGCTTCAATCCTTCGCATGTTGTGAGCTTTTCCATGAGATCAGAGCTCTTCTTTTCCTCCTCTTCGATACGGGCCTCAAGCTGCAACTTGCTGTTTTGAAGATCATAGTACGACGTGCACATTGAAACAGCAATCGTGCCTTTCGAAATTGCCGCCTTGTTTGTAAATGTCGAAACGTTGTGCTGCTGATTCATTCGCCAATAAGCCCACTTGCCCCACATTCCGCAGGCAGGCACAAGGTGCTCTGCATCATTTTTAGAGCAGAAAAAGCACTTTCCCGGCTTAGAAGAAGGCAACACCGAAACCATCTTGCGACCTGAGGATGTGTCAGTGGCTACCACCATATCTTCTCGTTCGGATGCTGATACTGACGCGATCATAGTCTTTTTCAGACAAGGCGTAGGTTCCTGGCGTTTGCTAGTCGTAGATGGATGTTGCTTCTTACTTGTGTTTGCGACTTCAATGTTTTTCGTTTTTTCGTTTTGCTGGTTGGCAATCAGGGAACTTTCAGTCGGTGCTTCCTTGCTAAGCTCTACTTGTTGTAATGAAGTTATGGTGGCTTCCAATGTTTGTGTGCCCATATAGTTAATTGCAGTCGTTGCCGGAACTCGTGCAGACAACATTTCAGGATCAAATCCGGCTGTGTGCTCGGACACGATTCGCACAAGCAGCGGATACTCTCTTTCCATACCAGCCTGCAGTTGTGGATACAGGAAGCAAGATTGTGTCAGGAAAGATACAAGCTCTTTCCACGCACACACAAACCAGCCAAATACGCCCATGGCAATTACCACGGAAGCCAGGAGCAGACCGTATCCCATACTATGAGCTGAAAAAATAATCCATGATGCCGGCATCGCCAGCGACAGTACCCACAACAAGAATGCACCAACAACTGGCACCACCAGCAGCCATCGAAGCCGTCTTGTCATCACGAGAAGAAACACCGTCACACCTGCACAATGGCTGAACCAAGCCCATCCAGTGGCCTCATCTACAAACTTTAGCGTGTCTGGAAGTGATGTCCAGCTACCTAGCGTAAAAGCTCCCCAAAGTATCACAGCGACGACAAAAGATGCCGTACTGTTGGTCTTGGTTACTATTATTCCACGCAGAGACAACTTGCGCAATAGCAGCCATCCATCCTCTTCTCCATCTGGTGTCACAGCTTCACCTCTTGGAGACGTACATGCCACTGCTAGAGTAATACTTTCACGATGTAAACGCCGTCGGAGAGCAAACCGTTCACGAGAATTACACTCGGAATAGTAAGCAACGGTATTGAAAACCCAAACCATTGGCACCAAGAAGAAAATACCAAGTACGCCTTCTGCTTGTCTTCGTGGAGGTTGAACCACAAAAGTAAGCACCGTATACAATGCAGTCGTCGCCCAACTACCGTAAAAAGACGACACATAACTCAGTGGTGTTATCTTGGGAATTGTATAGAATGAAAGTCCAAACGTTACAAATAATGCATCCTAAAGGTCGTCAAATTCATATGATTAACACTCAAATAATGACAATAGCAAGCTCAAATAATGACAATAGCAAGCTCAAATAATGACAATAGCAAGCTCAAATAATGACAATACAAGTGACGTACCCATTGACAAAGACTTGGTCGTTGTAACGTATACAGCAATAAGGTGGGAATTCCACTAGCCATTGATACCATAAATATTGTCTGCTCTCTCACTCGTACTAGATCCCACCGAACTAATACCCACGTCGCCACTTGAAGCATCTACCAAGACAATTTTAAGTTAGCATTGATCTGTAATTTATTGATCGAACTATTCAATTTGATAGTTTATGGCTATTATATTACACCATTTTATAAATTCTCCCATCAAATAACTTACCGCCACAAAAACTCGAGTTGGAACCGTAAGTAATAAATACTCAATAGGAAAATCAAGACCATCTGCTAAGGCGAATAAAATTTGAGAGGCTGCAGCTGGTAACAGTGAACGCAACCACAATGCTTTCTTCCGTGGGTGTAGCCTCGCTTGATACTTTTTTTCTAGTATTGGATCCTCAAACTGTAGTGTTAACTGGTTTAGTCGCACTGTTGAATGCAATCGCTCCGTCTCCTGAGCCTCACGCATGATCGATCAATGGATTAATCAGTCGTTTCGTTCGTTCGTTCGTTCGTTCGTATTAACGAGTGATATAAAGTTACAGGGTCTTTCTGATGGACAGTGAATGAAGGAATATTGATAAGGGACTGTATTTTACGGTACTGTATGTGTCAAACTTATTATCCCCATATTTGTCGTAGGTAATTTATTTCCGATTGCAAAAAGTATTTTCTACTCTATGCAATTATCGAAAATGTAATTTATTTTAGGTTCGCTTTGGTATGTCGCATTTCTGATATTGGGTGTCCGTCATGACGTCTGCCAGTAGGAGTCACTGGAAATTGGGCGGTCACATGCCTTTGCTGGAGAGTTTCGATTGACGGACTCTGTGCCGTCTATAGCCGCGACCTAAGAACACTGGACTTTTCTTTAAAGCACATCCAAGTATCCACGGATTTCCTTGGTCTGCGTCTCAGACGATTCCGCAGGCAGTCTGTTGATCTACCTCAACCGACTGGCACGCCTATTTGAGCGGCAGCGAATAGCTGGTCGCGCGACCACACGGATCAGGACCCCAGACTCTGTGGGCGCATTAGTACGGCTTCATGATTATCAAGTATGGACTGCATACCGAGTCGCGACGCACCAACTGAACTTCCTCTACACCCAAGAACCCGTGTTACCAGGACTCTATTCGCCAGCAAAAGGTGACACGTACGAGCACCTCTTCTACAGCTGCCTGTTTGCTTGCACGACTCGGGCGGAACTCATTAGCCACTGTGAAGGCACTAGGGTGTAGTTTGGACGCTTGCCACGTTGGATACGCGCATGTGCGGCTCGAACCCAAGCCGACGGATGGTAGTATAACGGTATTCCGACGAATAGCTTTGCTGCTGGTTGGGCTCGATGTTGGATGCTCCCTGCACGATTGCGAATGGAAGCCTCTGGATCAATGGAGTGATCGTGTCTTCCGTGGCGAAAGAATGACGGCACGTGAATGGGTTGTGAGATTGCAACCCGTGAAAACAACAAGCAGTTCAAACAAAACCACGACCAAGATCGTATTTGCCATCTTGCAATGCATTTTACCATTCCGTCACAATTCGGTCTTATTCTATGCTTGTTGCAAATAGCTTTGTCCATCGTTCACCGATCGGTTGAAGCTCAACACGTCGGATATCAGTATTCCCATCAACGTACGAGATCCGCACCTCCAGTCTCTCCGCCGGAACACTCGCTTCATTCAAACGCTCGGGCCATTCTATCAGTGTAATCCCTATTGCAGACCCCATGACCATATTCAAACATTAACACAAAGTCTTCTCTGGTTTCTAACTATACCTCCTACCTCGTTCAAATGCTTCAGCCAACCCCACAGCAGCTACATCCTGCTCCGTCATACCGTCCAACCGGTAGAGATCGACATGATATACTACTGGCAAATTAGCTTCTCCATTGTACGTGTTAACCAGCAAATACGTCGGTGACGTTACCGTCAGCTCCTTCTGCTGCGTGTGCGCCCTCACAAAACCTCTGGCCAAACACGTCTTTCCACAGCCCAGATCTCTGCATTCCAACGCACAGGAATCATCGCTTTAGTGCTCAATAGTATCTCATGTGTATACACTATTACAAATGCATTAGCCACTCTAATCGATCAATCTACCCGCGCAGGAACAGGACGTCGCCAGTCTGTCGTCCTTGAGCCAACCGTTCACCCAATATCTCCATATCTTCTTGGGATCTAGTCATTTGAAGACGAGACAAATATGTATCTGTATCATATTTCTTAATCTTATTATCCAAAGTCAAAGGCACGGCAAAGGATGAGTAATAACGTGTGCAACGACGACGCAGCAAACTCGCAGGAGAGCGACGTCGTAGCATGACGTCCATCTTGATCTCTGAATTGGTTTTGTGTGGTACACATCAGTACGATGGATAGTGGACCCATCGGTTTGTATTTTCCCCAATCAGAAATTAGATCGCAGTAAAAAACAACAATGTCAGGCTGGGTAAGTACGTGGCTGCAGGGCAAGAGCGAGGACGATGAAGAGAGCAAGAATGAAGGTATTGGCTTTGCTACGGGTGGTAGTACACTCTCAGGTGGACAAGTGCCTGCGTCGGCTGATGAGATTCGACGAAAGAGGCTGCAGAAATTACAGGAGCAGCAGATTCAGACACAACAGACAATTTCCACCAATGAGAGCACTGATAATACCAAAGTTGACGTAATAATGACCAATCAGGAGACATTAACACTGCAAACAGACACGAACAAGCAGGTTGAGCTCGCTACGGTTGCTCTTTCTAGACCTGCTGCTGAAGTACGTGCAGAAGCTAGAAAATCCAAGAAAAATGGGATACAGCCGGAAGTTTATGTGAATGACGTGCTGCAGCGAGTTTTGCACGTAACGTTGTCCCCAACCAATAGCAACAGTGATCTGATCCTCTTGCCGCAGTTTGCAACCGAAAGTGAAGCTGACAATGTGCTATTGAGCCCTTCCAATGTCAGTGAAGTGCTCTACTCTCGGGTTATTACAAACCCAGCAGATCTTCCAGGAGGCTCGCAGCATCCGCTGGCAGCTGTAGCCTATCTGGAGCAAGTATTCTATTGCTGCCGAGATGAGATGCAGAAGCTGCAGTCGTCCTTTGTGCGACTGCCGGTGAAGACGAAACAAGAGACAGAGGAATGCCTAAGTAGCATCAGAGAGATGTGCATCAATTATAGTGCTACAGCCTTAACAGACCCGGACATCTTCCCTTTTGAAGCGGGGACGATTAATGCTGATGCGCTGGAGAAGATTGTGAGACTACAGGGTAATGCACAGACACCAGAATTTGTCGACAGACTGGTGGCAGAACTAGAAGAAAGTGGTGCAACATTGACGGTGTTTACGCCCATATTCCAGAAATTGCTGTCGGAGCTGTTCCTGATTAGTCCACCGTCGCTCATGTCCAACTTTTATAACAACATGTATGTGCTGATGGTATTGTGCCGCAACAAGGCTTTGGCTTCGGTATTTACGCAGATTCCTGGCTTTTTGCTGACTCCAGGTCTACCCATGACGGGTCGACGCCTTCAAGATGCGACAGCTCTTGGACTGTTGTTGCGCTTTAGTTGCAATCAAGACCCAGCTATCACACAAATGTTCACAAATATTACGACACGCACGAAGAACGATGTGGACAGCTCTGTTCTGACTATTCGCAATAAGCTGGATAGTGTCCAGACGACAGTCTCGGATATTGTGACGTTACTACTAAAGGCTGGTGCACCCGCTCGCGAACGAGCATTGGCGTGGTTGGAACAGGCAATGCAGCTGAACGCAGAGCGCTCTAAAGAAAACCCAGACGCAAACATAACAGCAACGAACGGAATGTTCGTTAATTTGACAATGGTGCTGCTGAAGCTGTGTGGCCCTTTTATGGTTCCAAACTCGAAGAAAGCTCAATTAATCAAGATGAAGTTCTTGGCTGTTCAAAACACGTTGTTCCCACTGGACGAGACGAGGTTGGTTGGTGCTTCTGTTCGAGATGCTGCTTCGACACAAGACGATCGTCAAGTGTCGAACATATCTGACTTTAACTTCATCACGCGTTGCTACTTTATCACAGCTCGCGCGATGCACCTTGGACCAGTGGGTATGATAGGACAATACATGCGTTTACTCCGCCAACTTTCTTATTTCCAGAGTCGTATGAATGCTCAGAACGCAGACCCTCGTCTGAGAGCGCACTTTGACCAGATGGCCGCCACGAAGATGGTTATGGATGCTGAACTTCTGCATCCAGATCTTTTGCATGAGATGATGCGCTTCTCTATGCTGACGTGTGCGGTCATGAACTCAGTCTGTACTGGATCGGGCGTCTATGACGAGAGCCCGTTGCTTGAGTTGCCTCTTCCGACACCAGACACGGACACAAACGTTTCTTTGAAGTACATGCCGGAGCATTTGGTGGATGACTTGTGTACAATACTGAAGTTTGTAGCTCGACTTCAGCCTAAGGCACTAAATGGGTTTGAGCTGAAGGAGTTACTCAAGATGATCATTATTTTCCTATCCAGTCCAGCTTACGTGCACAGTCCTCACTTGCGTGCCAAAATGAGCGAAGTGCTATTCCAGATCTTCCTGCCATCGGAAGAGTCAGAAGAACGCGATACGGCTGGAACTGCTTTTGGAGTTGAACTTCTAATGACGGATATGCTGGCACAGCGTCATCTTGCTCCGTGCCTTTTGGCGCTTTATGGTGATGTTGAGCAAACGGGCTTTTACGAGAAGCTCGAACATCGCTATAACATCGCCTGCTTACTCAAATACTTGTGGAAGCTAGATGGTCACAAGCCAGCATTTTTTCTTATCGCCAAGGACAAAGAGAACTTTGTGAAGTTTGCACATGGATTAATGAATCATATTAACAGCCTGGTAACTGATGCGCTTGTGGCTTTACCAGAGATTAAGAATTTACAAGAGGAAATGCAGGATGTTGCACGTTGGATGGCGCTTGACGAAAGTGTGCGTGAGCAAAAGCAGAGCTTACTTTCAGACAAGGAGCGTACAGTCACATCGAGCCTTCAATTAGCCAACGAAACTATCCACATGATGTCTTATCTGACGTCTGAAATTCAAGAGCCTTTTGTAAAGATGCCAGAGCTCGAAGACCGTCTTGTAAGCATGTTAAACAGCGTAATTGTCAAGCTCGCAGGCCCGCGTGGGCTGGAGCTTAAAGTGAACAACCCGGAGCAATATAAGTTTCGGCCCAAGGTGATGCTGAAGGAAATCGTGGAGACGCTATTGCACTTTGCACACTACCCGAGCTTCTTAGATGCTGTGGCTACAAATGGTTTTTATGACGGCCAAGTATTCCGTAAATGTGCTCACATTGTGGCTCGAACCCAGTTATTGGAACCGAGCGACGTCCAGAAGTTTGAAACATTTGTTGCAAACGTTGAGAAAGCTGCTGAGGGAGCAGCAAATCTAGAAAAAGCGCTTGGTGATATTCCCGAGGAATTTCTTGATCCGTTGGTATTTACACTGATGAAAGACCCCGTGGTGCTACCGAGTGGGTATACAATGGATCGGTCATGTATTTCTCAACATTTACTGAATGATCAAAGTGATCCGTTCACACGCGTACCTCTGACAATGAATCAATTGGAGCCAAACACCAGCTTAAAGGCAAAAATCGAGCAATGGGTAAATGAGCAACAGGAGAAGCATGATGCAAAGTAAAAATGAAGGTGATGATGATGATGGTGGTTGGTTGGTTACTTGTGGTGGTGGTGATGGATTAATAAACAAATGACGGGTTTGATTTGCATATACATACTTGTGTGTGTCTGTTGTTTCAATCTGAATGCATTCAAACAGTGTCTCAGATGTCTAAATTATTATAAATATCTAAATTATTCCAAATGTCTAAATTATAGGAATCCACCTAATCTGGGTCGATTCTTTGTATTAGTATTATTGTAAACTACTGGCACGTCATGATTAGGAAGATGGAGGTTTTGTCTCGTCCTATGAATGCTCCACACAAGTCTCCACAGGTCATTTCAAACTCTTCTATGACCATGAGATTCTCTTTACCACCTTCTTTTCTCCAGACACGCATGGCGCTTTCTACTGCTTGTGTACGGAAAGAACTGAAACGTGTTCAAAATGATACTGAAGATACGTGGGAAGCCTATGACTGGGACACTGACGTTGATTTACTATCAAGTATCAGTACAATTGAAATTAAGCAGCAGGAACAAGTGGATGATTGGGAACTGGAGCCAAGTCTGGACTTGCCAGACGATTTTCCAAGACTTCTCGTGAACCTCACGCGTCTGCGGCGTGAACACTTTCCAACTACAAAAGAAGGAGAAGAAGAAGCAGCAGCATCAGACTTTGATATGATGGAAGTCTTTTATCGTGTCAAATATACGCTGTACCAGCACTTTTCTCAGTTGGTAGAAGTGTTATTTGAACAGAGTACGTTGACTGGATTGACCGTGTCCATTTTTGACTGTGAGATGGCAAGACTGACGCTCGTTGATGGGTTTGTATATTAACTAATTATGCTTTGACAGAGTTATGTTTTCACTGCACGTATGGAACGTCACGTGCTATGATAAAAGGTCTTCATGCTGCTTATCCAAAAGATGTTTTTGCTATGGTAGATTATCCAACGGAGATTGATAATGTGCCACTGCATGAGTATTTGCATACGTTGTCATATCCGTCAAGATGGAAAAGTGTCGAGTACTTGAAAGGTTGTCTACGTCGGTGTTCGCGAGATATTAGATGGAAAAAAGATGTCATTACAGAGTTGGAGTTGCTGGCGAAACAAGAATTTGCGCAATACGAAGAGAAACAACGAGAACTTAGTGACGAGATTGATGAGGTGAGGTGCCGCTTGTAAATGGAAACGAGTTTGACTGTTGTTTAATTCTGTGCTGGCTTGACCATTAATGCTCTGTTGGATGTGAATAGCTCTCTCGTCTGCGTGATTCGTTTCGAGAAAAGCTGGAGAAAATGGCGAGTCAACAGGGCAAGCCAAAAGGACAGTACTTGATGCTGCGAAAGCTGGAGGATATTGAAAACCGGATAATGACACTGCTGGATACTTTCCTTACAGAACCAGAACTGGAAGAAGAAGAATGTTACAGCGCATTTGGCAACCCTGGTGGAGAAGGTGGTTTGACTACGAGCATGAATGTGCTTGACATGGTGATCGCCATGGTGTTTGACCGCTTGCCTCGTAATTTTAGCCAGCAGACTACGACGGAAGAGCATTATCAGATGCTCTTTGATCATCATATTTATATTCTGCGCCTGTGGAAGAAAGACTTTGGACGTCTTCCCCAGAAGTCTCGAATGACGTCTCAAAAAGTTTGCATCTCAGATGCAGGCAGTCTTCGTGTGTCATCAGATGAAGATCGAGCCGCCTATGAAGTGTGTGGCGAGCACGACATGGTCGAGTATGTAGAAGATTGTTCCGTACATGACGATGGAAGTAGGGGATGTGATGAAGTGGTACACATTGGAGTAAATAACCACGAGGGGCGTATGCAAGACAACATTGATCGGAGATGTGACGAACCACTTGATAGAAAGATCCACCATGACATCGATTCTGATGGTTATGGTGCTGACTTTGACAGTGACGAAAGTGAGGGTGAAGACGGTGTTATGGTACAAGCTCACAGGCACCAGCAGAACACATGTAAACATAGCGATGCAAAGGCACTTTCTACACCTGCTGAACCGCGACGAAGACACATCAGAAAGACGAAGCGAAGCGCAATCAAAGTGCACGAATCGAAAGGAGCAAGATATGAAAGTGATGGTGAACAAGAATCGATGCCATTCCAACCTTTTGCTTGCACTGCAGCAGTTGGTTTACTTCGTTTAGCTAAAGAAAACGAAATGTTTTGAACACAATCAAGATGGACGGTCGAGCTTTATCACACACAAGCATTGGTCTACTTTCTTTGATGGATTATGATGTGCTCGTCATGAAGAGTAATGATTACATGGTCGTGTACCTCGAACGAAAGCTTTATAGCAAAACGTTACTACCAAGCAGTAGTACTCTTAGAAAAATAGTAAAAAGCAGTAGAAACTAAAGCGAGTATGAAAAGCATACGATAGAAATAGAAATGCTGTATACACAATCCATGTTGTCCACACCATTTCGTCGCAGCCAACCAAACTATCAGTGTATCAATTGAGCATTCGTCTACTAGTTACGTCTCCATCAATCATTTGACCTCATGGATGTACTTGCATCCGTGAAAGGCCATCGTACGTCTAAATCTGGTGCCAAGGTAAATAAAAAAAAGCGCAAAGCTTTTGAAAAGCAAGAAAAGGAACAGCCATCGCTTGCTGAACAACGCAAGAATTCCAAAGCTTTTGGTGTTGCAAAAGCTGGTCGAGCACGTAAAACCATCCAGCGTAATTTAGATCGTGCACATCGGAAGGAATATGTACCACAACTTGATCGTAGTGAAGAATTACCACCACCTATCTCGGTTGTGGTCATGGGTCCACCTGGTAGTGGTAAAAGTACTGTAATACGGTCACTAGTAAAACGATATACACGGCATAATCTTGTCGAGGTGAAAGGACCAGTGACGGTTGTCAGTGGTAAAGACCGTCGTATTACCTTTTTCGAGTGTCCTAATGATCTCAATGCGATGATTGATTTATCTAAAATTGCTGATCTCGTGCTATTGCTCGTGGATGCAAGTTTTGGTTTTGAAATGGAAACATTCGAGTTCCTTAATATCCTTCAGGTGTCTGGTTTTCCCAAGGTAATGGGTATATTGACTCATTTGGATACGTTTAAGAAGAACAAGAGTCTTCGAAAGACTAAAAAGAGACTGAAAGCACGGTTCTGGACAGAGATTTATCAAGGCGCAAAACTTTTTTATTTCTCAGGTATCTTTGCCAACAAGTTTCCAAAAGGCGAGATTAACAATTTATCCTTGTATATCTCAAGAATGAAGTTTCGACCACTTACATGGCGCAATTCACATCCTTATATGCTTGCCGATCGATTTGAAGATGTTACCATACCTCATGAAATTCAATGTAATCCAATGGTTGATCGACGGGTGACATTGTATGGATATTTACGTGGTACGCACTTGAAACCTGGTATGAAAATGCATATTGCAGGTGCAGGTGATTTCTATATGGACAATATCACGGCCATGCCCGATCCATGCAATATACCGTCTAGTAAAAAAGGTGTCGATGGTATTGTCAAGAAAAAACATTTGACTCAAAAAGACACGCTCTTATACGCACCAATGTCCGATGTTGGTAACATTATGTACGATAAGGACGCTATGTACATTAATCTGAGTCAACTGAACTATACGAACCCCGACACTGGAGATGTTGTGACTGAGGAACAGGATGCAGATGAGGTCAGTGGCAAAAGTAGCATGCGTATTGGACTAGGTGGAGAAGGTGTGGAGATGGTCCAAAGTATGCAAAAGATGGACGTTGGTCTTGATGAAAGGCTAGAGGGTGCAAGTCTGTCACTTTTCAAAAACACTGCTGCGATTCGTGCAGACGAAGTCGACAGTGGTGGCGAGGAAGAGGAAGATGACACCGATGACGATGGTGACGACGATGATGATGATGATAGACAGCCCAATATTGGCAAGCCTAAGGAGGCTCTTGTCCGTGACAGTACTGGTCGGATGCGGCGGCGGGCAGTTTTTGACGAGAGCGAGGAACCGAGTGCAGCCATGAGCAGTGATGCCGTTTCTGATGCTGAAGATGATGATGATGACAGTGACGATGATGGCCATAGTGACGACGAAGAGGAGAACGAGGTCACGGAAGAGCAGTCCCAGCTGAGGTGGAAGGAGGACATGGTGTCCCGTGCCGCTGCTAATTTCCTGGAGCGCGAACAGGCTGATGTGAACCTTATGGAGCTTGTATATGGAGATTGCCAAAAGCTGCACATGACCGAGGATGATGTGGAAAACGAGAAGGAGGAAGCCAGGAATGGCAAAGGCACGGCAGAGGAAGATGGCGAAGACGATGGTGACAGCTTTTTTACGCTGAAGCGGAAATCTGATGCGTCGGGAGTGTCTTTGTCAGCATCCAAAAAATACAATGCAATTAATGCGATGGATTGCTCACGTTTGCATCTGGGCACTGATGACGGAAACGACTGGACAATGCCGGATGTCCTAGAGAACATTCGTAACCGGTTTGTGACTGGATCGTGGAAACGTGTTAGCAAAAAACGTAACAACGACGATGACGAAGAGGATGTTGATAATGTCAATGCCAACCCAATGAACGATGATGACATGGACGGCTCGTTCGAAGATCTGGAGACCGGTGAGGTGCACAAAGGTGCTGATGGTGTTGATGATGGTACCAGCAGCCTCGGGGGGAGCGATGACGAGGGCAATGAGGAAGAGACCGATGAACAGATTCGCGAGCGTCTTCGTGCGCAAAAGTTAGCAAAGCGAGTAGAGGATGATGACGACGACGTGGAAGTGGGCGGTCAAAAGAAGAGCAAGGATGATGAAGATGAAGAGCTGACAGCAGTTATGGTCGAAGCCAAGCGCCTTCGCGATGAACAGGCACAGCGCAATGCTGAAGAGTTTGGCGAAGAAGGTGAGGACATGCGCCTTCAGCTGGAAGGTTTTCGTAATGGACTGTATGTCCGAATTGAGTTTTCAGGCGTGCCCGCTGAATTTGTCCGGTATTACGATCCAAAGAATCCGATCGTTGTGGGTGGTCTGCCCAACATGGAGGACACCCTAGGGCTCGTCCGTATGCGTTTTAAGAAACACCGATGGCACAAGAAGATTCTGAAGACGAACGATCCGCTGGTATTCTCGATTGGCTGGCGACGGTTTCAGAGTCTACCTTTATATTCTATTGAAGACACGAATGAGCGCCATCGTTACTTGAAGTACACACCTGAACACATGCATTGTCACGCCACGATTTTTGGACCCATGTGCCCTCCCAACACTGGTGTTTTGGCATTTCAGACATTGTCGAATAACGCGGAAGGATTCCGTGTCAGTGGCACTGGCGTCGTGTTAGAACTGGACCACAAGTTTAATGTGGTGAAGAAGCTTAAGCTGATCGGTACACCGAGCAAAATTCACAAGAACACTGCCTTTATCAAAGGCATGTTTAACACAGAGCTAGAAGTGGCCAAGTTTGAGGGCGCCAGTGTTCGTACCGTCAGTGGTGTGCGTGGTCGCATTAAGAAGGCACTTCGTGGTGAGAAGGGTGACTTTCGTGCCACGTTCGAAGACAAGATTTTGAAAAGTGATTTGGTCTTCTGCCGTACGTGGGTGCCCGTTGATCCGAAACAACTGTATAATCCGGTGACGTCTTTGCTTACAAATGTCAAGAATTTGAAGAAGAGTACGTTGGGGCTCATGAAGACCACGTACGAGCTTCGCAAGGAGCAAAAGTTGGCAGTACCTGTCAATCCGGATTCACTTTACAAACCTATCATGCGTACTGAGCGCAAGTTTTCTGCGGTGAAGGTACCAAAGAAGCTACAGGCTAACTTGCCGTTTGCAAGTAAGCCTAAGGAGGATAAGAAGAAGGGCGTGAAGAAGGGCTACCTGGCCAGCCGTGCAGTCGTGCTGGAGCCAGAAGAGAAGAAAAAGTATGGTTTCATGCTCCGCGTTAACACTGTACGCCGTGACCGTGAGGCCACTCGTAAAGAGCGGCAGAGCCAGCGAAACGCAGAGAACTTGAAGCGCAAACAGCGTGAGGAAAAGCAGTTTGAAGGCGTGCACAAAGCGGAGAAGAAGGCGAAGTATCGTGCAGAAGGCAAGGAACTTGCGTATCGTGCAAAAAAGGCAGCAGGTGGTTAGGAGAGAGAGAGTATTGCTGCCAGTATGTCGTGCAGGTTAGAAATGTAATGATCCTTTGTCGTTTGGTTTCAACAACACTGTAGAATGTTTGTATGTCTGCCAGTTTTGTTGTGACAAAGTGATAGATACTATCGACGACCGTGATGGGACTCGACCCCACAACCCCTGATTAGAAGTCAGATGCGCTATCCATTGCGCCACAAGGTCAATATGGCAACAATATGTAGGTATTGTTTGGAACATCTCCTTTGATTAGAAGCTGTACCTTGTACAATTGCCACATCTGCCGTGTAATTGACATTCACGATCTGATTTGCTTGCTTGATTTGCTATTCCCCCTGTCATGTCACTCACTCATTTATCAATAGAAAGCTTGAGAAGCTCATCTCATAATCGATTCTCGACCAGTGAAATTGCAAACAGCTGGAAATATAGAACAACGTCTGTCTCAGACACAATCCGGATGGAATCCAGAGAGCCATTCAACCATCCGTCAAGCAAACATCAAAAGGCTACGTCAAGTTTGACATGATACTGCGTTTAACATGCTACGTATGCATTTGTTTAATGTCAGATATAACTACAGCACGAACCCACTGATCATTGTCAAGTTTATATATATGACGCGTCTGCTGCACAAAGCACCATATTAACTTGATCGTTGTTACAAGTCAAAGCCATTACCGGCAAATGTAAATGGATCTACTACACACAGACATTAGATGCCTATGATCTGGGCTCTGTGTGCTGATCATACTAACAAGGATACACTCACAAAGACGTTTATTCTACATTGTTATTTGTTGCTATGTAAACGTATTGTAAACTTAAGAGGAGACACGTACACGGAATAATACAAGTCAAGCTTCGTAGAGATTTTGGGGTCTGGTCGAGAGGACTGTTACATTAGTGACTTGGTTATTTATAGCAAGTATTGTCTTTTATTTGAATGGCAAAAAAAACGAGAGTAAAGTACTTAGCATGCATTGTTAATTTGCATACCGGTAAAATTGATCAAGAGTTTTGACGTCACCTAGTTTTCATAAATTTAACAACTAATAAAGTGAGCTTAATTTCTGTCAAATAAAATGTAGTTGACATTTTTTTTCTAACCAATCAATCCATCGTCTGTCCCAATCAAATAGACACAATGCTGAACGCAAAGCAGCGCCGCAAGCTTTTGCGTGAGCAGCAACAGCAGCAGCAGAAGCAAGAAGAAGGCGTTTGTATTGAGGAACAAATTGAGAAGGAGACTATAGAAACATCATCAGCAATTGGAAAAGACGAGGAGAAGCTGAATTCCAAGGAGCGCCGCCGATTGGCGCGACAAGCAAAGCAGAAGCGTGAAGTTGGGACTGGAGAGGAGTTGACGACAGGAGGTTCGAGCGCACCGGTTGATGATAAACAGCCACTGAATGCTCAGCAACGCCGTCTACTGAATCGTCAGGATAAGCGGAAGCATGAGGGAGTGGAGAGTATGAAGCCGGTACAGAAGAAGCGGAAGAAACAGACAATGGAGGAAGACAATGATGCTTACAAGAGCATTCACTTGACGCTGTTTGTGGGACAACTGCCATTTTGTGCGACCGAGGAGATGATCCGAAAACACTTTGCAAAGGCAGGTGATATCAAGATACGCATGCGAACGGATAAGAAGACAAAGAAGTTTAAGGGCACGGCATTTATTGAAGTAAAGGACAGTAAAGCATTAGGTGCTGCTTTGTCACGTCATCACACGTTGTTGCAGGGACGTCGTATTAATGTCGAACTAACTGCCAGTGGTGGAGGTAACAAGTCAGAGAACCGACGCAACAAGATTGATTTACTACGGAAGAAGCAGAGCAATGTTCAGGTGGAAAAGACAAAGGCTTTGATCCAGAAACATATTGACGGACCAGAGTATCAGCTCAAGCAGGAGGACGTTGATGATCGAATGATTGACTTTCTATCATGGTTTGATTATGAAACGGCCAAGAACGCGCTGGATGAGTACAATCGCTGCGTCAGTGATCGTGTGAATAATCGCAAAGCCTTTTTCATGGGAATTCTCAAGCGATTTCGGCAAACCGACGGTGACGAGTAGATCACGCGACTGATTCCTCAGAAGTCGCGATGACGACAAAAATACTATCGAGAATATCATTGTACTATCGATTCAAAACATGTCGCATTACAGTTGATTGTTGCTTCGACATTGTCATATTCCATACACTTGCATGAATACTCAGTATCCTCCACTCAAACCCGACTTTGACATACATTCTTCCTAACTTCTGTATAAAAAAGAGTACTATTTTGTAGAGTACTATTTTGTAAAGTACTATTTCTATCCTACTATTTCAACCGAAACTCGTTCGACAAAAAGAAGAACTCTAAAACTTAATAACGTGAGCATGTCTCCTAGTACTAACTGACAGTTCAAAACGACCTCAACAGTCATTTGACGATTCCCATGAGGACAACGAACGGCCGGATGAGTCTCTCGCGGTCTCTAGTTGGTTGGAAACGTCTTCCAGCATCAAGATTTGATAATACAGTACTACGTGAACTTCCCATTGATACTGAGACAAAGAATTTTGTCCGTAGTGCCGTTCCTAATGCGTGTTTTTCACGTGTTAAGCCCACACCAATTGTCAATCCCGAGCTAGTTGTTATTTCTCCTTCTGCGCTATTGTTAGCAGGTATTGAAATCAAATGGACTGTGGATACGAGTCATCAAGTACGAAATAAGACTCAAGAGCTAGAGAAGACACGTCAAGACGATGATTGCGAGCCAATTAACACGCTGGTGCCAATTTTAGCTGGAAATAAGCTCTTTCCAGGCTCTGAGACTGCTGCTCAGTGTTATTGTGGCCACCAATTTGGGTACTTTTCAGGTCAATTGGGAGATGGAGCTGCTCTTTATCTTGGTGAAGTGGTGACTGGAGACGAACGATGGGAGCTACAGCTTAAAGGTTCAGGACCTACGCCCTATTCTAGAACAGCTGATGGTAGAAAAGTGCTAAGATCGACGTTGAGAGAATTTTTATGCAGTGAGAATATGTTTGCTCTTGGTGTACCTACGACTCGAGCAGGGAGTGTCGTGATGTCGAGAGAAACACAAGTACTGCGAGACATTTTTTACAATGGTAACGCCAAGATGGAGCCGACAGCGGTGGTCACGAGAATTGCAAAGAGTTTTTTGAGATTTGGTTCGTTTGAGATATTTATGAAAAGACACAAGCCTTTTACGGGTCTTGCAGGGCCGAGTGCCGACGTTGAAAACAAGGACGAAATGATGCGACAGATGCTGGATTTTACGATTAAACAATATTTCCCAGGGATACATGGATTAGACAAGTATGAAACGTTTTTTGAAGAAGTGGTGCGTCGTACGGCAAAACTGGTGGCAAAATGGCAGACGATTGGGTTTTGTCACGGTGTGTTGAACACAGACAATATGAGCATTGTAGGTGACACGCTTGATTACGGTCCGTTTGGCTTTATGGAGCATTTTGACCCCAAGCACATATGCAACACGTCAGATGTTCAAGGCCGTTACCGCTATGAGGCCCAGCCTGAAATTTGCAAGTGGAACTGCGGTGTGCTAGCTGATCAGCTTGAAATGGTGGCAGATCGTTCACGACTTGATGCTGGCCTCGCGTTGTTTGAGAAACATTATGAAGAAGAGTATCTGCTCTCGATGCGCGAGAAACTTGGCTTACCGACTTGTGTTGGTGAGATTGCAGAGGACAAACTGCTTGTGAATACGCTAGTTGACGTGCTGGGCCATACGGGTGCGGATTTTACGGGTGTGTTTCGGAACCTATCGAAACTTGACGCTTTTGACTCGGGTGAGTCTCGAGATGTTGTGTTGAACGAACTTGTGGCATTGTCTGAGACCTTGGCGCAACAGAAACGTAAATTGGAGAAGGAATCAGTTGGAGTCTCTGATGCCCAATTCGACATGATTATGATGCTGCTTCAGGACAACCCTCGACGTGCTGGTCAATACGGTATTACTCCTGCATTGGTCTCTCAGATAACAGCCAATCGCGAAGCAAAGAAGAAACTCGATGCAATTACTGACGATGAGCGCATGGATAGTATCCGCGTCGCGTGGGAAGACTGGATTGATGTTTTCATCGCGCGAATCAAGGAGAAAGTAGATGCGGCTAGTGATGCCGAACGTCGTCGTCGGATGCTCAAGATCAATCCATTATTTGTGCTTCGAAACCATGTAGCTCAAAAGGCCATTGATTTGGCCCATGGTGGCGACTATGATGGCACCCAGCATATTTTTGAGCTTCTGACGCACCCGTTTGATGAACCCAGTGACGAGAGTGATCTCGCGTATGCTCGACCGCAAGATCCATCCACTGCCCCGCTTTGCGTTTCTTGTTCGTCGTAGATGATCTGGTGATCAGTACTGTCCTAAGCTTGGAGGCCTGTGGTGATGCAGGGAAGGCGATATCTGCGTCAAAGTGTCTGTGTTTCATGCACGCACGTCATGAAACATTTTAAAATTTACTGTATGTTTTTTTGGAAAAGCATTTGAAAGAACAGCGGCTTGATGCCGTTTAGTGGCCCCGTTCTTTCTGCTAAAGGAAATGTCAAAACACCTGAACGCTTTCCCTTGGTTTGTTCTTGCTTCGAATGTCATTGACAAGTTTAACTAGCATCTCGATTCAACATTGATTTTAAGAAAGCAGCTTCGGTCAAGTGGATCACCTAATGAATTGTTGAAAGTGTACACAGGTCGATTGTACGGAAGCAACGATACATTCCTGAATTCCCTTACACTTGCTATGTCGTTTAGGCATAGCAAGGAGCTGGCTAGAAACTATTCTTTAGTATCACATTCGATTTACACAAGCAGAAGGAGAGTACAAGTCAAGTGGTAGATTGCTATGGTTAAAAACTGCACAATCTACAAATCCGGTAACGCACGTGAAACCAGGACACGCTTGGTGTTCAAATCACGTACATGTTGCTTTGAAAACAAGGTTGATTTTCCTGTCAACTCGCTTGTGTAATGATGACTCAAGGTCTCTCATTGCCAATCTTCTTGATGCGCCTGAGAATTTCTTTAGCCATTTTTTCTTCCTTCTCCTTAAGCTTTTTCTTTTCCAAGAGTTCTTCTTTTTGCTGCCTCCGATAGTCTGCTAGAATCTTCAATTTTATAGGACGCTTCTTTAAGAACGCGTTCATCGAGCTCTTCTGGCTTTGGCTGAGAAGTGACTCTTTGTCGGTATTCTCAGTCGCCTTTTGCCTACGTCTTCTCCATATCCGCTGAACCAAACCCGTCAGAAAACGCTCTTCGTCCTCTTTCAGCGAGTCCATGGAGTCGGTTTCCTTACCTTGAGAGCGCAAAGAGCGCTTGATACTACCAGGTTCCGAATTTGTTTGAAGGAGCTCGTTCTGATTTGCACGGACAAAAGAAATATTGTTTCCAGCGAATGAAACGGCAATGGTGAAAGCAATGTAGTAGTAGAAACGCATGATTGCTGCTGTCTGGTTTTGTTTTCAAAAGACCCTTACGTAGGAAGAGTACAAATTCAAGAATGAGGCATTCGTACTATGACAGCGATTGCATTACAGATAGGATAAGGTCTAAAGGAGTCAGTAATTGATCCAGACGCCAGTGCGTAACAAATCCCAGACAGATCATGTGTCACATCGTCGACTCAACACGATTCGTCGACCGAATACGGTTTGTCGAGACCCTTCCTGTCTGTTCAGGTTTCTTGCATACCGGCGTCTGAACCTTCGGTGCACTGACGATTTACGATCAAGAGTCATCCATATGTTGATCAGAGACGTTCGAAAAATGCCACTGCCAATCAAACATCATGAGCATTCATTGCAAATGGGCAATCATCCTTGCGGTGTCAGGAAAAGCCTCCCTTGATCTCACTATCTGGAGTATAGTATTTATGATACTGTGGTTGACACGACGTATAAAGCTAATAGCACAGCTCCGCTTCTTTGCAGCATGTTTTGTCGATACTTGCACTGCCTTGAATCGTAACTGATGTTGCCTAAAGAACTGTAGTCAAGATTCAAGGCAGTGCAAGTATCGAGTTTGGCGACAGCAACTCATGCCATGAGGCAAAAGACGGCAAGCTAAATCAATTGAGCGAAGGGCCGTGGGCAAACAAACTGTGGACCTAAACTTGGACCAAGCATGGCCAAGTCCCGATAGATCGGCACGGTCGGATAAAGTTTTTCTTAACGCATGAAGGTGACATTCAGTGCAAATCGACAACTTGCGATTTCAAATCCGTAGCGGAACAATTGCGTACATATGCCCCAATGTTTTTCTGAGGCTTCATCGAGCACTGTACACACTTTGTCAATGTGCCAGCTAACATACATACTTCTGCTCGGACTACGATTAAGATGGAATGTGCTTGCATTTTCGCAAGTGTTTCAAACGTCATCAATGACTTCTATAGAAAGTGTGCTACCCTTTCACGAGTCTAGTCGTTTTGATGGAATAGAGAGGAAGTCATTCTGCACAAGAAGAAGTGGGTTGTCGTACGTTGGCATGTCACGGTAGGCTTGGAACACGTCTCTCTACGTGGGTAACATGTCGTATCTTTGAACCTTTGCACGAATTGATGTAGCTGCCTCTAAATCGTTGAAAACCTCCTCGTGCTGCTCCGGCATGTGACGATCACGCACATTGTGGTACTTCACGCTTCTTGCATCATGTATGCGTTTACTTTGGCCATGTCCCTGATGTGATTACAGACGAAGTTACCAACGTTTTCACATTGTTGACAACATGTGATTAGGTTTCGTACGCGTGCGCTGCCAGTGATCAATCAGTAGAAAAAGCTTGCGCCTACTGCATTCATGGAGATTACTTCAATCCTAGAGCGAACGCTAGCAAAGACCACAGATATTAAGACGAAGCTATGGACCTGCTGCTGTTTTTACGAGCTTCTTTCCATGACCGTTTCGAAGGGTCAAGCCCATCATCCTTTCAGTCATGTAGCTTCAAGGTTAGTCCTCCCGTCTCAACTGAGCAGCGCGCGGATCGATGATACTGCATAGTCAACATCCTGACTCGATATGTGCAAGTTGGTCACTGCGCGCACGCGGTTTCCGTCTGCATACCCACCAACGAGTAAACCTTTTTCAGCCTGAAGTTTTTGCACCAGTGTCATTGCGTCCAGCTTGGCATCCGATGCCAATGTGAAGAAGACAATGTTCGTGTCCACAGCGTCGAGGTCGATCTCTATACCTGCGATCGACGAGATACCATGAGCAAGCGCCTGCGCATGAACGTGATCTTCGGCGAGGCGATCAAACTGGTTCTCGAGAGCGTAAAGCCCCGCCGATGCAATAATTCCCGCCTGCCGCATCCCTCCGCCAAGCGACTTGCGAAGTCGTGTGGCGTGATGAATAAACTCTTCCGAGCCTGCCAGGATAGAACCTACGGGAGCACCCAATCCCTTACTGAGACAAAGTGAGACCGAGTGAGCACCACTAACCAACTCGTTCATTGGAATCCCAGACGCCACGCTTGCGTTTGCCAGTCGTGCACCATCAACATGAAGGCGGAGGCTGCGCTCTTTACAGAACTGCTCGACATTGCGGACATATGAGAGAGGCAAGACACGACCGCCACACAAGTTATGCGTGTTCTCAACCGTGACAAGTCGAGAGCGTGGGTAATGTGGGTCGTTGCTTCGAATGGCCTGGTTAATGTCCTTGATATGAAGCGTACCATCCAGCTGGTTGGGTACTGTGTGCAAGCTCACTCCCATATACGCTATTGAGTTCAATTAAAAATGACAAGAGAGGTAGCAGATGAGCATCATAGGTATGCATGGATACAAAAGATACAAGCCACGTGTATTGATTGTACCGTTAGCTCCACCACCTTCGTACTGAAAAATGTGCGCTTGATTTCCACAAATGACCTCATCTCCACGTCGACAATGCGCACCAATGGCGATAAGATTTGACATGGTGCCACTAAAATCTCATCATCATCAACAGGAATCAAATCATCATATACACAAAGGTTAGTCGTAGTAGTAGTAGCAGTAAAGACATCCACCCATTCGTTAGTCGATTCAAAAATGATTAGACGGACATACGAAGGTACGTAAAGCGCTGCCTGTTTGCCAAGACGTTGAGCTGCCACCTTTTCAAGTTGCTTAACAGATGGGTCTGTACCAAACACATCATCGCCCACGTCGGCAACTGCAATTACTTGCCGCATGATGGCAGTGGGTTGGGTCACAGTATCGGATAAGAGATTCACGATACTACGAGGTACTTTAGTCATTTATTAAGGTGGTCTTCTTGACTCGTGACTTGACTGGACTTGTGGTATTGTTACAGTGAGCGCTTTAGCTCATAATCAAGCGAATAGATAGCACAGTGGATGATACACATACAACATATTCTTGTGTCTTCATGAAGGTAAGATGGTTTTTTATTTTCTAAGAAGAAACGCTGCCTTATAATACACACTAGCAAAATGGTCATCAAGTATCCTAATATCCCGGCTCACAGTGCCCACAGACAACGGGGCAACAGCAAGCGAGGCTTTTGGAGGGCACCTGACGTTACTTGTACATCGAAGGAAACTTTCTTCCGACTCTCCGCACTACGAATAATAGAGAAACTCCACGGGTCCTGACCGTCTGCGAAAGACACGCTCGCTCATTGCTCCAAGTCTTCAAATGGCGGACAACTGCTTGCCATCTCGTGTCACCTGTAATTTACCATGCACTGTTGTCATCGCTAAAACCACCACCACGAGCGCCATCATTTCGGCTGCCGCCGCCATAGCCACCTCCGCCGTAGCCACCACCACCTCCGTAACCGCCGCCACCACCACCGCTATAGCCACCACGGCTGCCGCCACCTCCACCACGCTCTTCGTTACGATAATCTTTAGCACCAAATCGGGAACTACCGCGGCCACGACCGCCACGACCACGACCGCCGCCAACACGGAAGCCACTGTTTGCCATCTGATCCAGAAATGCCGGAATTTCCTGCTCGTTTTCAGACATCAATTCGTACATCTCCCGAGCAATATTACGGTTCTTCTCGTTCATCATTGAGAGTGCATATCCAATGTTACCCACACGACCTGTACGACCGATTCGATGGACGTAGTCATCGATGTTGTTGGGCAAATCGAAGTTAATCACTTGCGTCACACCATCGATGTCAAGACCACGCGCAGCTACATCTGTAGCTACCAAAACAGGAGTGCGTCCTGATTTGAAACTTGCCAAAGCTTGCTCACGTTCACGCTGTGAACGATCACCGTGGATTGACGTGGCTGGAAACCCTTCGCGGCAAAGCATGTCTTCCAAAAAGTCAGCACCACGCTTTGTTTCCACGAAAACCAAAATAAGGCCGTCCTGCACCTGATTCAAAAAACGAACAAGATAGTCCTCCTTGTCGTACTGCTCAATGTACTCCACCGTCTGCTTTACATCCTTTGACGCGGAACCCACGCGACCGACCGTCAAGAAAATATAATCGCGCAGAAAGTCTGACGCAAGGCGTTGAATTTCACGCGGGAATGTAGCACTAAACATAAACGTCTGGCGTTCACGGGGCATGTCCTCCTGCTCGACAATGCGGCGAATCTGAGGCTCGAAACCCATATCCAGCATGCGATCAGCCTCATCCAAAATCAAAAATCGAATACACGACAGCGAGATGCGACCACGCTCCATCAAATCGACAAGACGACCAGGAGTAGCAACTAACAAGTCGCAACCACGCTCTAGCTCCCGTAATTGACGACCTACCTCAGCACCACCATAAATCACAACGGGGGCGATACCAGTGCAATAGCAAAACTTTTTAGCCTCATCGTGGATCTGTGACGCTAGCTCACGCGTGGGCGAGAGAATCAATGCAGCCGGAAAAATCTTGCGCGAACGTCCGTGGCCAACATCTGGCGGGGGCGTGCCTCCAACACGTAGCATCGCCGCAAGTGTGGGAAACAGAAAACCGCCTGTCTTACCGGAACCGGTCTGAGCACACGCCATCATATCACGGCCAGCAAGACCAATTGGAATCGAATACTTCTGCACAGGAGTAGGCTTTGAATACTTGCAAAGTTCCAAGTTGCGAATGACTTCAGCTCCCAGCTGCTCAGCCGAAAACTCGGTGACTGGATCAGGAACATTCTCACCGCTTGTTTCGACTGGGATATCGTCGTACTTGTCAAAATTAATACCAGATGACTTTGCATCACCAAACAATTCGTGCTCGAGACGTTCATTAGGGCGTACGTCACCATGATAACCCATATCATTTACTCGAACACCACCGCCACGACTATAGCCTCCACCGCCACGACTATAGCCTCCACCGCCACCACTGTAGCCACCACGACGATCATCTCCGTAGCCTCCACGACGATCATCTCGACGATCTGACTCGAATCCTGACCAGCGAGAATTCGTGGCACGTGGTGGACCATCACCACGCTCCTTCGAGCCACTACGAGCTATATATCCACGTTCACGTGAGCCACCGCGTCGATCAAACCCGCCGCCCCGTCGTTCCTCAAAACCTCCTCCTCCACGACGATCTTCACTACTTCCTCCTCCGCGACGGTCTTCACTACTTCCTCCTCCATGACGGTCTTCACTATTACCACCACCTCTCATATGTGGTGGAACGTATGTTGATCTTCCTGTAAACGTTATAATAATAATAATAATTAGAATCATACATAAAATTAAATTAAATATCTTTCATCCAAATGAAGTTTGATAGAAATTCATCAATACAAAGTACAATCATCGGATAATTATATACTTGTATCGAATTATAGAAAACATACCTCCTTCCACCATCTTTCGTACTCCTTTTCTGCTTCTTGGCTTCTTGCTCACAAAAGAGAATGGGGGGTCGCTTGAGGCTCAGGCGCCATTCAATTCTTTAGTAGGCTCAGTGGCGAGTAGACATTGGCTAATATATCAATGTTTTACGAAACTTATTAACCACTTATCATACATTAAACTCACATGTCGCATAGATCATACACGACAAGTTGTTTCAACAGATTCTGTCAAAGACGATACTGTTTAAGACAGATACTGTCTGAACTGATAACCTGTCTTAAGTGGATAAACAATTGGCAGTTTTGAGCTCGTCAACTATCTTAAAACGAATAAGCTTGTATAATCTGGTATCAAATAAATTCTGTCCAGATAATCAATTTAGAAAGATGTGGGACCATTATCTAAACAGGCTCACGCAATCTCTATAAAATAGCTCTGAATGCCTTTCTGCGCAATTTGGCAAGTTCCGATGGCCCCTCTCAATTGATCCTTCAATCGCTGCAAAGTCGTCATAAAATGGTCCTTAAACATTTGCTTGCTGCAGCAAGATGGATCATTTGTATCTACGAAAGCCAAGCCAGCCATTAGAAGCTCAGAAACAAAGTGGTCAGGATACAGACAATCCAAAAATTTCTTTGCGCTTTCTTGAAGAGGATCAATGTTCAGTTGATGTGGGCATGGAGCAACTATACTACAGTCTCCTTCTTTTTAGAATACTACATTATGCACTATCGTTTTTGCTGAGAGTTGATGGATGCTGTCATTGAAGCAATTACATCAGGAAAAGTATACCGTAATTGCTCCAAATGACAGAAAACATAAATGAATCGTGAGTTGAGTATGTTGCGGACCTTTCAGTATCGTAGTTGGTTGCCGTGCTGCTATAGCTAATTGCTGCGGAAACTGTGGTTGTTGGTAACCGGTTCTTACCGGGCACACCATCTTGTCCACAAAAGATATCCATTTAGACAAGTTTTACGGTCCCACCGAATTGCAGAGAGAGAACAGATTGTCTATTTACTAGGCTTACGGCTTTCCCAAAGACTGATGAGCCGGGCCCAAAGTGCCTGAGCACGGGGACATCCAGAAGATATGCTCCTGGGTCTCCTTCTGTCCTACACATTCTCGATACGTGCAAGTCCCGTCCGGAGGCCGGTCCTAATACCAAAAGTTTAGCTGACCGGTAGCGTGGCGGTACCGTGTCCAGAGCTGACACTCGGTCACCGCGTGTCCGTGACCCCATAGATGAACCGGCGATACATCGAGAGCTGCTCGTTGCCATCGCGTTTGCTGGCTCTTGGAGCCTAGTCGATCAATAACCTGCTTCAGCGGTGTTGCAAGACACCGCTTAGACGACTTAATAGCTTGCCGTTTCAGAAACGAGAAGACGGGCGATTGGAAATTGGCGGAGTAGAGGTGGACCTGTGGATTGGAAAAAAGACACCCCATTCCGGATGAGCTTGCGCTCCGCTAGTTGGATGAGTTCCTGCGTTTTCGCCTGAACGGGGCGTTTCTCCTTTGAACATCCACGTGAGACCATTGTGGGATTGAGTGAGGCCCAACTCTGAGGGTGATCGCTGTTGGCAGAGAGCGAAGTGCCCCGAACCGTGCCCCCCGGTGGTCCCACCGATTGTACATAAATACCATAAACGTCATTTTTTCGTGGGCTCAAATTTCTTCATATCGCATGAAATTACATAGTTTTCTTCAACCATTTATAGCAGTCTATTCTTGTAAATTAGTAGTCTCTGTACTCATATGATTTTCCATTTCGTGTAATGGCTCTAACGTAGCTACAATCAATCTTGTATATCAACTTTCTCGTTTGTAAAAAGGATTGAGGTCGATGATTTTGTCATCAAACTTGATTTTGTATTTGATGCTGGTTATCCAAGTAGAAACACAAACTAAAGTAGCTCACGACCGGTTCTGTCAATGATGTCTGGAAGCATTGGGCATACTTGATTGTCCCAGTCTGTCGTAGTTAGGCGACAAAATACGAGTAATCGGAGAGTGCACTGACACAATTAATGAAGATAGTATTTATACACGATAGACGGGTCAATTTAGATAAAGAACACAAGAGGGAGCCGTTAGCCGTGGCATTCATGGTACGTCTTGTAGTCAGCAGCACGGCTGTAGATAAGTGTCAGAAAAATGGCAGCAAGTATACCGAAGTAACATTGTATGCCTTTTATCAAAAGCAGTAGAGAACGAATACGAACGTGTCTTCAGTCAAATTATTTTTTCTTGTAGAGGCCAAATGCCAGCGCCGAGGCGACACCCACAGCAATACCAGCCACAAGGCCAAGTACAGTCTGCTGTTGATTCTTTGATAGCGTGCGCATAGTCCTCTTCTTGGTGAATTGTGGGGTTGTGCGTGGATTCTCGAGGAACTCAGCAATTAGTACAGCGTTCAGCGCCGCACCGCGCAATAGTTGGTCACCAGACACAAACAACTCGAGGCCGTGGTCACCAAAGACCAGACTCTTGCGCAAACGGCCAGCTTCAATGTTAAACTTCTTCGTGGCATTCTTAGGCATGGGATACAATAGCTCCTCCGGCACATCGACGAGATCTACACCGTCCGCCATGGCCAGCAATTCACGAGCAACAGCAATGTTCACAGGCTTGACCGTTTCGATGGTGAGCGCCTCCGAGTGCGCACGCATGATGGGGACACGGGCGGCGGTACAACTCACAGCAAGGTTAGGTTCGTCAAAAATCTTGCGTGTCTCCCACGTAACCTTCATCTCCTCTTTAGTGTAGCCATTTTCCTGGAACTTGTCAATATGTGGGATGAGATTGAAAGGAAGAGGATACGAGAATACCTTGTAAGTCACAGGTTCATTGGCCAAGAAGGACTTGGCGCCATCACTTAGTTCCTGCATTCCGGCGGCACCTGCACCACTGGCCGCCTGGTAGGTAGAGACTATAAGCTTCTTGATACCAAACTCACAATGAAGCGGCCAAAGAGCCATAGCAGCGATACCCGTGGTGCAATTGGGGTTCGCAATAAGCTTCGGTTGCGGCTTGCCATTTTTCGGGATAAGCACGTGGCCGTTAATTTCCGGGATCACAAGCGGAATCTTTGGGTCACGACGAAAGGCGGAAGAGTTATCAATAACTACAGGACCATTGGGTATAACAGACAGTTCCTTGGCATATTGCAGCGAAAAATCACCTGATACAGCCAAGAAAACGTAGTCCAGCTTTGCTGCTTTCTCCACTGAAAAGAGTGAAATTGTCACCTCACCAAAGGGTGTTAAAACCTTGTTTCCAGCAGAACGTGATGAAGCAAATAGTACAATCTCTTGCACAGGAAACTTGCGTGCATCCAGTACTGAAATGATCTCAATACCTACAGCACCAGTTGCACCACAAATACCGACTTTTTTGCCATTCGACAGTGCCATTTTTCTACCTATGGATGAAAATGCTTGGAGGACCATCAGATCGTATTTAGACGAGCATATACAGTAGAGATCCCAATCTCTCTGTTAAATACGAATATCATTTACAAGGTTTGATTGAAGTGTCCATCCCATTCACGTCATCACGTCAGAATCCAATTGTATTAAGCAACACCACGACCCTTTAGTACCAATAACGATACGAACTGCTATAATGATACCAGCACTACTGCGCGCGTCACGTCTTGCCGTCTTTACGTCGCGTACGTTTGCGTCATCCATTGAGCAGCTCGTGCTTGTGGAAAAGAAGGACAAGTACGCGATTGTGCGTCTGAATCGCCCACCTGTTAATTCACTCAGCACGGCAGTGAGTCAAAAGATTGCGATGTTTTATGTTGAATACAAAATGACTCAATTTGATTGCATTTATCTTATATGCTCAGCTGATACAAGAACTAGAGACAACTATCAAGAAGCTTGAGGATGACAAGAGCATGCGGTAAGATCCAGATGAGACACTTCTAATAGCTTTTCGTGCTACTGAAATTTGTGTTGATTGCTTTATTCTACAAAGAGGTTTTATCCTTGCATCGTCCAACCAAAAGGTCTTTTGTGCTGGTCTGGACATTACGGAAATGTATAAAGCAGAGGTGTGTGTGTACATGGATTACTCCATGGAGCTTTATTTGTTTAGGTCTAGAGCTTTTAATCACTATATGCTTATTGCGTCTTGTCTTTTTGATAGCTAAGCAAGATTACTGAATTTTGGACGTCACTTCAAGATCTATACTTGCGTCTGTACACGACGCGTTTGGCTACAACTGCTGCAATTGAGGGTCACAGTCCAGCTGGAGGTTGTTTGCTTGCCATGTGCTGTGACTACCGTGTCATGACAAGTGGTAAGCCCATGATTGGTCTTAATGAGACGCAATTGGGAATTGTGGCACCTACTTGGTTTCGTGACACGTTCATCAATACAATTGGTCACCGAGAGGCTGAGAAAATGCTGGGGCTGGGATTGCAAGTGGATGCAAATCGCGCGAAAGCTATTGGACTCGTGGATGAAGCTGTTGCACTTGAGGAAGTTTTTCCACGTGCTGAAGCTGTCTTGGCCAAGTGGTTGGCCATTCCAGGTATGTGTGGCTTTTATAAGCTTTTTCTGGGTCATACGAAGAAGCTGACACTAAATAATATTGTTAATGACGGCGGTGACTAAATAGACATGGCTCGTGTGAAGACCAAGATGCTGATGCGTCAGGAAACGGCGGACAGACTGATGGCTATCCGCGAGAAAGATCTCCAAGCTTTCACTGACTTTGCACAGACGGACATGGTGCAAAAATTACTGGGGGCGTACCTTGCTTCTTTGAAGAAGAAGTAATCAAAGGTTTGAGCAGCATGTGATTGAGCATTATGTTGTGCTTCGCAACAATCGTCAGCCTCATCAAGTATTGGTTGTTTATACACCATAGGAGTAAACCTTTATGAAGTTACTGTAATCACAAAAGCTTGTGTTCAGACTAATACGTGGATGACTGTGTTTGCATTAGGATTTTTCAATTTTGGAGTCACAATGCCAGCAATCAGGTGACTCCGAGGACATTGAGGCTCAAAGCGCTGCAATGCAAGTACGCCATTGACTGGAACCTTTGACTGCTATTTCAGTACTAGACGCCCCTTTTTCTCTTCACTAGCTTAGTACTTGTCCTATCATAACAGCTACTCCGTGCCAAGTCTTTGTAACGCTTTTGTTTCGTCATCATTTAGTTTTCACCAATGAAGTGAAGAAGGCTCGTTTGTCAACAACACTCACATCTCTCTATTAGAACAGTTGGCTCATTTTCAATGGAGGATATTCGTCAAGCCATACGGCAAGGCCGCACGTTGGCTACACAAGGTCTCTATGAGCAAGCCAAGATACTATGGAAGTCTACGCTAAGTACCTCATATTATATGCAGGATTATGCTGGTATGTTTGTGCTGTCTGTTAATGTCGGTGAGGTTTGTGTACGGATTGCAAAGCAATCAAACACGATATCTCAAGCGTTGCTACAATTGCAAGAAGCAAATGAGAATCTTGAGTATGCGCTGCAACTGGTGGAAAAGTTTTCGCTCTGTAATATCTTAGCAGGACATGGAGCGTTGTATCAAGGCGTGATGCGTGCAAAGACATTGAAGAGGAAGGCAAAGACATTGCTGGACAAGTTGCAACAGATTGAGGTGGAAGACGAGACAAAAAGAAACGATGAAGTGGTGGAAGTTTGTATGACGTGCGAAGTAGGTAGTGAACAGATTGTGCTGGATGAGAATGATGGTTGTTATTACTGCAGAAAATGCTATGAGGAATACTATGCTACATTCGAGAATGATGCTAGCGTTCAGACTGTCGAAGCGTTTGTTGCTGTCTATGATGTAGATGGTTTGGAAAAAGAGAAAAAGAATGAGAGAGATGAAGAGTTAGGCTTGGAAAATGAAAAAGGTGACGATAGTACTGATCAGGTTGTGGCTGAGTCGAGCGCAACAACCGAACCGAATCACGTTACGCGTATTCATAGCGAAGGCAAAGACGCAGAGGCGGTTGATCCTCAGAAGGTCGAGGTGAACCGCACTAAATACGAACGAGTCGAGCTGGGATCACTTGCAGATTATCTGGCTGGAACGCTTCAGATCGAGCGTGATAAAGTTCAGCAATCTAAGATCCAGCAGAATGACGTTTGCAATGATGCCCTTGAGTTGACTGCAGCGGCTCGTGATCGACAAGAAGAGTGCCGTGAAGAGTGTATAACTACGGACAGTGACCTCCAAGACGTGCCACCGTATGAAACCAGCCTTGTTACATCAGATGAGGATGTCCAGCATGAAGTAGGAAAAAAGCTACTGAATGAGGAGAATATTGCAGACAGAGCACACGAAAAATACGAATACTCGGTTGCCCGACTGCTGGCACTTCGGAAGCTTTCGCCTTGTGAGTGTCCAGAGTCTCTATTAACATCACCCGTGCGAGATAATGGGTCTACTTTGACTCCTGTTCAAACTAAAGCCAATAGCATGCGGAAGAAATCAAATTCTAAAAAGACAACGAGGTGAGCAAGGCTGCATGGTCGTACTTGATTACACTCAACTGACTCTTGTGTGCATCTCTTACCAGGTTAACAACATTACGTCAGGAAAACAATCGAGACACCACCGGATCTAATCAATTAAAGATGCCAACAACAACAACGGATGCGAGTCCATCCATCTCGCTCTTACCATCGATGGACTTGTGCAATACACTGCGTGAAGCTCTCCAGAAGAGCAGGAGACGGATAATGGAGCGTTTCGATGAACTCGGAGTTAATCGAGACTTTGCTAATTGATTCATCTTGGTAGCATTATTATTGCTCTTATTTTGTATTGGCACTAACAAGATATGAAATGTATTGATTCCACTAAAATGATTACCATTAATATCGTCGACCTAATAAGGCAGTAGTAATATGATGATTAGCCCAACGAAATCAAAAGCCAGCTGTTTCCAATAGTCCATCTTTCTCATATAGCGCGGAATCATTAAATCTCAGAGGTTACCTCCATCACTGTTTACAAAAGTAAATAAAATCTCACAATTCACAGTCCCCGGTGCACTATTTATTACAGAAAGTAGTCATAGTATGTATCAAGAGTGATGGTTCATTTCTTCTTCCATCCACTCAAGAATAAAGAGAGAGAACGAGATCAACGCGAGTTTCTTGAACACTAAGAGATTTCCATACAAGTAGCATTATCGATTCAATGATGAAACAAGAGACACATGATCAAAAATCTCTTGAGCTTACACGTAGTTTCCTTTCTTTCCATATACTAAAGCAAATATTGGAGTCTACTACAATAAAAGAAGATGAAGAGGTAAACATTTTCTAATTCTATCAATGATGAGTAGTAGAAACTGAGATGACGTAATCAAACAAGCATATGACAATGATATCTATCCATTAATATCGTATTTAGGCTATCATGGTCACGCGCATGTGCGTCGATCCGCGTCATGTGGAAGAATTTGAACGTCTTTTACGTATGATATTGAAGAATACACATACAGTGGGTCATGTATCAACATGTGTTGTCCGTCCACCACCTGGAGAATTCACCTATACATCAATTGTACACTTGAGTCTATTGACTATGTGCTTTGTGCTTTGTCTAGTATCTAATTGCTTGTAAACTGATGTGATTTTTGCTGGTATCTTTTTATCTTGTTCTTTCTATAGGTGAAATACTCCGGTTTAGAAGCAATGCGACAGATCTACCCGTCAACCATTGAAAATGGTGTAAATCTGTACAATTTACTGGCAGCACGTGACTCACTGCTTTTAGAACCACCGACGTATCAGATTGAAGCAGGATTTGGCACGTGGATTGAATCGGATGGAAACACAAAACCCATGCGGGGTGATGATCCCGACGAAGACACGAATCTTGTGTACCAGAGTGTTCCTGGTCCGTGCTGCAATGATTCATGTGAAAACCCACACGGTTTGAACGTTCGGGCTTCTTTTGTTGCACCTACCAAGACTTTCCAGCTTTTTCGAGCGCGATACCAGCGAAATAATAAAAAAGGTGGACAGAAAAACCTACGCTGCTTTCCATGCTGTCGTAATGGACGCCATGTGAGTTCAGGTTTCTGCGGAGATTCAATCAGAGTGCACGTGGCAGTGAGTCGTATGACTGAATCAGGAGGTGTAAAGATTTGCCCCATCCAAACAACTCGCCCGGCCGTGTTGGCATTTGCGCGTTTCCTCAACCTTGATGGTACGTTTGATCCGACAGCTTCGGGACCTGAGGTCTTCACCGGACAGACGATCGAGAAGACGGATGTGCTTGCGTGGGTGCGCGACAAGCAACATCCAACAAACCCACTCTTTCCGGGGATTCTGCGTGGTGCTGCCATGGAGACATCGTCTCAGTCGGCAATTTTCGAGTTTAATGCTGAATGTAAGGCGTGGCATTATGGCTGGACCGCCCCACGTGGCCAAGGACTATCTGGAAGCGATGCGCATCATGTGCTAGAAGTGCTTTTCATGAAGCCGATGGGTTCTTATATGTACTGCCTGGAGCGTCTGCGCTCGGATGAGTTTTCTATCTATTCCAGCCGTAGAGCTAGTCATGCAGCTATCAAGCCTGAACCAGAGGCTTTCGAGCACGAAGAGGATGCCGATGATAGAAATCTTAAGCGAAAGCGTACACTTATGCGCAAGGTAGCAACGTCGTCTCCAATCGACGCAATATTGCCCCAGCCTCCAGCCTCACCGTCATCAACACTTGTGACCAGCTGTCCAATGAATTCTCCGATCTTTTCTCCCTCAAAGGGAGATATGACTAATGAACGTCGCCTAGGCGCTCCTTCTGCAACGCGGGTGACTCTCCCCGCATCGAGTGCATCCCCTACGTTGACAGGCTTTTTCGACATCGCGTTGCCCCTGACAGACATACCACCGTTTAAGGTGGGAAATGTTTTTGGGTCAGTATCATCTCCCATGGCTGTATGCCCTTCGTCTTCTCCCGTTCTGGTGGACAGTGCGTCGTCAGTATTTGACTGCCGTAGTCTTGACGACATGATGATTAGTGGTAGCATGCTACAAAATGAGACCCAGCAACAGCAACAATTGCTAATCGACGAGCAAAACCAAACTCTTCGGCGACATCAACGCGAACAGCAAGAACTGTTATTACAGCAGCAGCAGCAACTCACTCAGCACCTTGCTGAGCAAATGATGGTCAGCCAACAGCATGTACACGCGAATCATCTGCAAGTCCCGGGAGGGCTCCAGAGCCATTCGCTGTTTCAAGAAGAGCAACCCGCTCGCCGTGTTGTTTCGACAGACGAGCTGCCGTGGTCAGAGCTATACCATCTGTTTGACACCCTGCTCGCTCCAGGGACTACCGACGACGATCTTGATCGTGACGAGGAGATTTTGTCGATTCCTGGCAACGGTCCGGTACCTTCTTTAACTGCTAGCTTGAGCACAGCGGCTCCTCCTCTTTGACTCCAGTACATCAGACTGTGATGAATTACTTATAGTATCGCTACGAGATACCACCCTTCCTCTGCGATGATTATGCAGAGTTTGTGTATACGTGGAAAGAAGAGCCGAAAAATTCCAAGATTAAGGAAAGCGATAGAGCAGAAATGTGGGAAAACCAGATCGCAGTCTTCTACAGGGCAAAGTCAAGTAAGTAAATATCCGATACACTCGTACGTTTTCCTTCTATAGTGTTATAATGAAGTCCCATGGAGATATGCACAAAGAGAATTGCTGGAAGAGAGATCAGCAGCAATTTGACGACTTCTGTATACCAGAGATAAACAACCATTGAGAGTTCACAACAATGAATCTGGCAAACGCTATTGAAAAAGCATACGCAAGACAAAATTCGCTATATTATAGTCGAGCGAAGACTTTTTTTCGGGTGCCCTCTGCAATACCATGTCCATAATAAATTCTTCCTTCAACTCCAATAAGAAATTCAGCCAAGATGAACCTTTTCCTAGCAAGCCTGAAAGCTCACTATTAAAAGAACTCGCCTCACAATAAACTTGTCGGTTCCTTCTCATCGTGACGCTGCAAACTCTTTCGCGTGTGCCATACACCAACCTTTGCGCTGTGCCCACTTCGAGCATTTTTCAAACTTACAGCGCACGCCGCCACCGTGTGTCCGACAAAGGTGCTTCAAATGAGCTTTCTTGTTACATCCTTCTACAGCACAGTACTCCCCACCACCGTGTGATTTGCATAACCCTTTCGACTGAGCAGCACGAACACAACCCTCCTTCTTGCACCGAGAGCCACCGCCGTGCGCGATGCACAACCCGCGGCTCTGACTATTTTTCGTGCATCCTTCATACACACACTGGTGCGCACCTCCATGCTTCTTGCATTTTTGATGTGACCGTGCACGGTTCTGACAGCCTGAAAACTCGCACTGTCGACTTCGCGGACGCTTTCCAGTTTTCACGCCCATTGTGTCCAAAGCAGTTGATGTTGGCGTGATTACTGATGTTAAAGTTTCAATCCCGCTTGAGTTTCCTCCCGCTTGAGTTTTCGTAGCCGAGGTTGACATCGATCCACTGTGATACAAAACTAACGACGGCATCACGGTTCCTCGCTGTTTCGGCTCCATGGTTGAGTTCCTACACAAAGTACGGGTAGAGCTCGTGTTTTCACTTGATGTGGCTTCATCCATAAAACTACTTGCGACTGGAAATGCTGCGTACACATCGTTGTAACCTCCACGTAATCTCTTTGTCGATGTTTCAGCTTGATTCTCCATACCTATTGTACCTCGATCTTGTTTCATTGGATACTCTGTTGCAGTCGTTGGTGCTAAGAGCATTTCTAGCTGTGATTCTCGATTATTCATTCCCCTCCTGTCTAAATTCATTACCTGATCTGTTTTCACAACACTATTTGTTATTGATGTCTCAAGTGGTGTCGTAGGTGATGGCCCACCCGAGTCAATTGTATCATTCAAATACGAATCCAAATCCTGATTAAACTCTGAAAGCTGTGGATAATCCATCTTTAATTCATCATCTGATGCCAGATACAATGGTGCTTGAACTTGTTGCTCTTGATTCGGAACGGTTTCATTCTCTGTTTCAGAACCCATGATCGTACTACTTCCAGGTGCACTCCAGAGTGAATACAATGTCGAGTCACAATCTGGTAAGAACGTGTCAATATATGTTGATGCTCCATTCGGTGATCCAATGCCTGCTGTTACACTTGACGTTGTGGTCGTACTATTATTGTGTGTGATATTACTGCTACCAAGTGAAGAGGACATCCAGTTGGTAGTATTGGTGTTTCTTGATACATTTCGACTAGTAAAGCCCCAATTGGGATTGAAATCTGATACCACACGATCTGGTTCGAATGGAGGCGATGAAGATGATGAATAGCCAATAACAGGTGATGGAAAGCTGCTGCTACTGCTGCTAATATTGATATTGTTGATGGTGTTGTTTGAACGTGGTCTCTTGGCTGATGATGGATGGGTGAAGATGATGATGATACATTCTCTCCAAACGTAGGCGACGGATTAAAGAGCATGGCATGTGTCAAATTGTTGTTCCCACTGGTATGACGGTCCAAAAAATGGTGAAAATAGAGTCCTGGCGTTATATTTGGTCCATTTGGTACTGGCGTTTTCATTCTTGTGGGCAAGTGTTGTGACGTACCCCCTGTCCCAGGTACTTGCATACTATTTTTGCCACTACGCGGGTTGTGGTTACCACCACTCCGACTACAATCTCCTGTTGTTGTTGTAACACTAAACCAATTTGAAACTGTCACGTCGTGTGAAGTCCACGGAATGCCACTAGTTGATGGCAATCCCACGATTGCCCACGGCTCGTCGGCGCTACTTCCGGTCTGGCCGAAGAGCGCCTCGTTGGCTGCAATGTCAAGCGCCGTCGTGTCTTTCTTTTTTTTCGCTTCTACTTCTTATTGTTCGGTGTTAGAGTATGTGACGTCGTGTATCTCGTCGTATTTGCTAAGCCCCTGTCGCTTTAGGTAATCGTAGCTGCAAAACACACGCAATTTTGTTTCCTGTTTCCTTTCTTTTTATACTTTTTAATTTTTGGGGGGAAGAAAAACAGTGAGAAAAATGAAAAAACACACCCGACTGGTTTCAATATATATGGGAGTATGCAATATACAGAGACAGGACGTGCTTTCACAAAAGTTGCAACCGAATAAACTACAACATTCAATGAAAATCGCATTATTTTTATATGATGAATTAAAAAGGCTTGGCATAAATTACACACTTGTGCTATTTAATATTGTTAATTTTAAAAACACCAAGTCTCAAGAAATACATTCGGGGTTGTCATGATTGTTTAGTTTATACAATACACGCTACTTCTTGACCTCTCTCTCTCTCTAAGGAGAAGATCAAATCCGAGTTGGTCAAAGTGTAAGCGAATGGTCTCATTTACACTAGGTTGGTTGCAACACACTGACGTTCATCGTTACTTGAACTAAAAACAGTACATTGTCAGTACAGTGTTTCGATCGAATTGATTAAAATGGCTCGAAACTGAAGTTTGGGGTTACTTCAACTCAGTTTTGACACTTTTTTGTGTCCATAATTTAGAGCAATGGAAAAATGGACCAAAAAAAACAATTAAACACATTGATATGAATTGCTATAGAAAGACTGAGTATATCGTATCAAATAATATTCTTAATCACGTGCTGGTCCGGGATTCCGAATACATTCGTGTATGGTTACGCTTCAAGCAATTCATACGAACGTATGGATAGTCAAACATCTTGGCACACTTACGATACGTCTGCCACGGGTGATTATCTAGTGTCTCAAGATACTGCATGAGAGAAATACCTTGGACGTGATAGCAAGCAAGATATTGTTGTTTCTTGGTGTGATGCTCGACAGTCCATCTAAAGTTAGCACAAACCGTTAGCATGACTGAAAAACAAACAAGCAATGCAGTATATACACGTACTGCCGACGAATGCGACGAAAACGAACGCGGTGTTCTTTCAGAAGCTCCGAAGGCGATATATCGCAACGCGAGTTAATCATGGCCTGTCACAACAACCACAAGCGTTTCGTTAGCTCAGTTGGATATGACAGCGGCCAACGTACTGGGCGTTGCTACAACCTCGTGAGTGATATTATCTTGAATCGTTCTGCGATGATGTGCAGTGCCACGTGACAAGCGTTTCTTTGTCTCAATCTATACAGAATCAGTATGGAATATATAAGGAACCATGATCTTGATGTCAAGTACCAAAGCAACATTGTTGCAAGACTTTCAACTGTACCTGATTCATCACGAGTGTCGCTGATGTGCAACAGGTTATGCAACCCAAATGAACAACTTCTTCATTAGTTGTCAAACTACCAAGACACTCTTTATCCGATATGAGACTGCATTCACACCTTTGCAAATAGGTTTTCTTCACTTTCACCTTTGACATTTGTTTTTGTTCTTGTGTCTGGTAAAGAATCAATACAATCGAAACCGTCTTAGTGACAGTACACTTCAAAACCTCATCTACTACTATATTTCAAGGCATTGCTGAGTGAGACTGCCATTGACTGTATCACTACGTCACGAATCCGCGTCAACAAGACTGGATGCTGCTCCTGCATCAGCTCGTACGTCCCACGCCTCATCTCAAGCACAGTGCATGGCTTCATCGCGAATGCCATTAATTGCCGCTGCTGGTGACTAAAAAAGTCTACTTCGCCGAACAAGGACCCTGGCATTACGATGCTAGCACTCTCCTCCAATCCGTTGCTTTTGCTGAGCGTGACACAACCACTTGCGAGAAAGTAAAAGCGGTCCGATGATTCCCCAACGCTATAAAATTCATGACCGGCTGGCACTTCGCGTTTCTTGAAGAACTCATCGATATTGCTCAGGATCTGCGAGTCGTCGGACTCACCCGCAAAAAACTGCGTTAGCTGCCTGCTACACTCGTCATGGAAGCTGCTCTTGCGGCGTACACCCGTGGCGCCTGCCAGGATCTGGTTCTCACAGAAGTCCAGGGCTGACTCCGTGCTTGGAAAGAAACTGTCACTGCCCACAACGTTGTTTTTTACAAGCGTACTGCGAATATGGGGAAGCGCTGCAGCATACACGACGGTGATGTCGTGATTACTGCAGTACTTCTGCAGGATAAGGAATGCGCTACGTGCGGCCGTAGTATCCATCGCCGTGACGTTGGTGAAGTCCATGACGACGTAGTTGGTGGGTACGGCGTCAGGATGTGTAGCAGGAGTCCCATCCAGACACCTAATCAACGGTGCCGGGTGTTCGCGTGGGGTGAGCGGCAAGTTGGCAGCATTGACGTAGTTTGTTTCAACATCATCCATATCACTCGATAATTGTCTGCGGACGTACACAGCCTTCTGGACACGGTCGAGGATCTGCACGGACGAACCGAAGAAAAGAAAGCCGTTAAACTCGAAATACGCGATGGTATCGCACTTTTCATTAAGCAGTCGACGCTCCTCGAGAGTACGAAACATGCCAGAAGAACGAGGCTTGCGATTCACAACGGGAAGGTGAATGTACCCCAGTAGGAAATTGACAATCGCGATACCCACTCCAATGAGCATACCCTGGTCGAGTGACAGGACGTTTACGGCGATGAATGTCATCCACAACACTGCGTACTCGCGCAATGACAGCTTCTGATATGAAAGTACGAGCCACTGGATCATAAGCGCGATGGCAATAAAAATAACTACCGCTGCGAAGACGAAGCGCGGCACGTAACTCATGACGGACACAGGAGCCAACACAAGCGCGATCTCAGAGACCAACAAGCAAACACCAACGATGCGAGAGTTGGTCTTGGAATGGTAGGTAAAGATGGTTTGCGAAAAAATATACGACCCCGGATATCCGCCCAGCAGACCGCTGACGACGTTGGACCAGCCGACAGTCATGAGCTCGTAATTATATTTGAGCTTCTTGCCCGTTTCGAGCTCGATAGCAGCAACATCGATGCAGGACGAAAACGCAACGATTAATACCATAACGATCCACGTTCCAAACTGTTTTGGCAATTGATTCCAGTGAACCAGGGAAAAGTCAAAGAGACCAATCATTTCCGAGACTGTGGCAGGTTCCTGGCCAAGATGGATCCAGCCACCGTTGCGCGCGTCGTCCATCGAGATACCACCCACCAACAAGATGAAGAAGAACACGACGGGCATGATCAAGATTGCTCCGGATAGGATGAGCGAATTGTTGTAGCGCTGCGATATGACGCGCAGAAATACACCACCAACAACACCGGGTACGCAGTGGAGAACGTCGTGAGCGTTGTTAAAGACGCCGATCATGGACTTGATGTCATTGACAACGAGACCCGTGCAAAGCGCAAGTCCAGCGTACAAGCAAAAAATGCCAATATAAGCAAGGTATCCTCCAATAACGGGCACTGGCAAGTACGCCACTAACGCAGCAAGCTTGAGTTTACCCATGATTACAAGACACACGCCCAATAAGGCCGTGGCAATACCAATGCCGACGATGGAAGTGGCTACCTTGGCTTCCAACGGCACGTCGTCACCCAATGAATTACAGACAGAGGTGACCATGGTACTGAGCAAAATAAGTCCGGCATCTTGTGCTTGTCCGATGGCGCATGGCAAAGAGCTCGTCAGTGTAAACATGATTTGATGCACAGCACTGGAAAAGATGATGAGTTTTGTGAGTGCCGGCATAAAGTCTGCAAAGTCCTTGTGGCTGAAAACGATAACGGCATATCCATACAGGAAGGGAATGGTCGTCACGGAGTTGATGATACCATACATGAATATGTTGACCACGTGGGCCCAATTCTGCAATTTGGCTTCATGATTTTGTAGATTTGATGCCATTTTACCGTTGGCCGTGTAAAGCAGCACATGTGTAGGTGACTCAATGTTGGTGTTTCGGGATTTTTCACGTGTAATCGAAAGCATTGATAGTTGAGATAGTCGAGAGACTATACTATCGCCATGACTTAACGAGTCCATAATGGCAAGAGAATGGGATAGACACTCTTTCAAAACTTCTTTTGAGTGCGCACCGTGCAACGTCAAAAGGAGAATGCTGCTCTGGAATTGATCTCGTATTTGTCATCATAAACTTGTCCGCAATCCGTCGAACTGTAAGAAATAGCACGTACATGTTGTTTGACTATGGCGAGTCTTCCCCTCGATTCTGTCAGCAATGTAAACCGGATATATGGACATGAACATGGAGCGGACAAGAGTAGACTTACAGTTTAGCATGTTTCGTCTGGCTACGGTAGCTACGGCTTTTTTGTGCAAGAAAAAACTAATCATGACTATCATGTTATTGATATGGCCTTCTCCTTGTAATCGAAGGAGCTATATATCAACGCGTGCTAGCTAGAAAGAAGCGTTGATACAGTACTGGTAACGTGTTGGACACACGTTGAAAGAAACAAGCAGAAAAGCCAATAAAGCAGAACAGCCAATAAAGCCAAAACGCTACATACATTACCTTCCTGTTTGAGATTTGCAGATTGAGCATCTATTATCAATTCGCACGTGCAGAGAAGCTAATTGCTAGTACAAAGAAACACAACTTGCTCTTTCCTATATTTCGAATAAGTGCATGTTACATTTTTTTAGTTCTGGCTGTTCCTACTGTCATCTTGCTGCCCCCTTCGACAAGAGTGCTTTTCCCTTATTTGATATTGCTCGTATCTGATATTTAGTCTACATCCAACTCAATTTTACTTGAGACTTGGACAATCCACCTGCGCTATTAGTGGGCAAGCACCGGATTATCATGCCGCGCATTGCGCGGGTCTTTCTCAATCTACTGACCGACGACTGGTCAAGACATAAACCATGCGAAGTAGCGCAATGCAGCTCATGAAGCGTTTGCAAGCTTGGACCCATACTTCTGGCAGAAAAGGTTCTAGGCAGACTCAGGAGACAGCATGCAGCTATGGCAAGTCTGTATACTTCGTCAGAGCAGCTGATGGCATCGCCCTGTCATGGGCACGGATCAGACCAAGTTTCCCCGCACCCGCTTTGATTTACGAGGATGTACCGCTTCTTCAAAGCTGTACTATGTATGTGTGTAGTAAGTGGCACATGAGTACAACACATACACGCTGCTTTAAACTAAGTGACATAGCATGACAACACAAAAGATCACCCACTGCATGCCTGTGATCTTACATACGTTTTTCTAGAAATCTGTGAAAACCGAGTCAATTACAAACAATTCTGGTCGTGGTGATAATTTGGATACTAGTATCCGCTTGATTTACTTGTGCAGTCATTCTTAAATATAACCCTACAAGCACAGTCACACCTGTTCTCACTCTCATGATCCAAAATACAGAATTATTACCGTCTAGAGATCCAGAGTTACGGGGCTGCAAGTGACGAGCCCCATTTGGTTCTTCAAACCGAAATGGGACTTGTCACGTGCAGTTTTACTCAATTCAATTTTAAAGATCGTTCACTGCTAGAATAGCGAAGCTGCGCCATTACAATGGAAAAAGCGCGGTCGTCCAGTAAACGTTCCTGTGTTTTTCTGCGCTCAACGCAAACGACATTGTTAGTGGTGAAACACCAACAGTACTACCTCAACCGTACGCTAGCGTTGCTCGTTGATACATTTGTTGCGTGTGCTAATGCTGTTAATGCTGCTGACGTACGAGGGTCTTTGGCAACATTGTTCCCGTTAGTACCACGTACCTCCGGCTCGTCTACTTTTCCCGCTGCTCTTGGTTTTTGACGCTTCAGTCATCGCTGTAGTCAGGTTTCTGTTGGAAAACCTCGGCGTTGCAAATGTTCTTGTCACTTTGTTCGCTCAAGAATCATGCTATTGTCCGGCTAGACCAACTGTAGAAAACTTCTTGGCCAAGTGAGAAGGACCAATGTGTTTAAGTATGTCTTGTTCGTCATGACGGGAGTTTGCAAGCTGACGTATCCCCTGGGCATCGTAATTGAGAGAGCGAAATTTAGGATGTCTATTTACTGTCATGTATAAGATTCCTGGTATGTTCGAGAATAGAACGCCAGTGCCGAAGGGCGCGATATTAATCACTCCTCATGGGGATCCGTGGACTCTCCGGTGAGTAGGTGAGAATCTCGATCCACGCGTGTAAATGTGGCGCCGTGGATAACAGCGTCCAACTTGCGGTAGGCGCGTTCTTGGCGAGGCTTGGAGTCCCGAACTGCATCCGTCCAGTAGGCCACTGCCCCTTCCACCGTAAATTGGTACTTTTTTCATAGCAATATTTGGCCTTCTTCAACTTCTGAAGGCAGTTTGTAAATTGCCTGTGCAATGTGACTGTGACGAAAAATAGAAACACTCGTATTAGCTTGTATATTTATCGGTCGCCTTGATGTGCAAATCGGTCAGCTTCTGCAAAATTAAACAAGAAGTGTTATTACTGATCTTTACTGTATTATTGAGCTGAATCATTGACTTGACTTATGGGAGCTAATTGTTGTGGTCCAAAGAAATCATTCATGATCGCAGATAGAGTTGCGGTAATCTCCATACAAACAGCTGCAAAGGATTTTTAATCGCCCTACAAAAACAGTGTAACGGGGTTACACGAGGTGTGTATTATAGATACAACACCATCGGTGCATTGGGTTGACATTGTCCTAGTATTTGGTTATGTACAATGGTTATATATGTATAGATATGGATACATATTAGGGAAGGATACAGAGCCAGTGAAATATAGTGATAGGGTAAGTGTTTCAATATTAGTGCTCAAAGATAAACATATGAATAAATCAGTTTGGAACCTGCTTTGTTAAGCATTTGTTGCTAAAGCGTAGTACTTATCAAGGATTTGAATATGTACATACTACTCTCACTTGAGACGTGGTTGTTTACAATCAGAAGGCACAAGCTTGTGAAGCTAGCCTTGGGAGGGTTGTCAACCCTAGAGAAGTAGAGCTCGTAGAAATTGTCTTCTTCTGCACATAATAGGCAATTGAAAATGATGGGTGTTAGGGTGAAGGGAAACGAAGCAGATGACATTGTCCGGCTCATAGCGTCTTGGGGGCAAAGGGATTTCCTCAAAAACGAGGCATCGACTATGGTGAGACCTTCGCACCGGTGGAGAAGCTTATGTCGATTCGAAAAACTGCTCAGCTTAATAGCCAAGTACAACCTGACGGTGCATTAGATGGATGTCAAGACCTCTTTTCTTCAGAATCCGTTGATGAATACAACTCCATAACGCATCCAGATGGATACGTTGATGACGATCACCGGACTTTGTTTACCTGCTGAAGCGCTCACTTATGGTCTCAACCAATCACCGCTAATCAAACTATCAACGCGTTTATGATGAAGTTGTAGATCGAGGAATGCAAACCGACCACTGCGCTTATGTCAAGCGATATGATCGAGATTAGAGTTTTGTGGCGTTGTATGTCGACGATTAGTTCTCTCAGGCAACACCGAGCTACTCAAGTTAATCAAGCAGGTGCTTGGTGATCGTTTTGATTTGACCGACATTGGCAGCTTCCAGTAATTTTTTGGGATGAAGATTGATCAAGACATTTACGCAGGCACGATTTCAATCCGTCAGTCCAATTTTGCGAATGATCTTCTCGCGAATCTCGGCATGCAAAGTATCAACCCTGTCAAGACTTCACATGTATCGAGACTCAATTAACAAGGTCAATGTACAAAGGAGAATGCAAGCATGGGGTAACGATGGCGTCGCTTCCATATCGCAAGGCAGCTGGCTGCCTTATGTATCGAATGGAGAAATCACTTGTGCCTCGACGCTGCAGCGGGAGTGCTCAGCCAATTTGCATCGGACCCATGCCCTGCACACTGGCAAGCACTTATACGCGTGTTACGTTATATTCAAAGATTGCGGAAATATGGCATATATGTCCGCGATCTTTGCATATCTAATTAAAAGCAACGAGTAAGGACAACATACAAGGCTACTCAGATGCAGACTTGGGCGGTCGCTGTTGCCGCCTCCGATCGTCCCGATTAAAATTGTCAGCGACGTCAGAGAAATCTTGCCGAAGAGTTATCTCGTACTTGCGCGAGCTAAACAAATTTGAATACCTTCTTCACCTTCAAATACTGGGTATAGCCCTGGTGATGACGTCGTGCCAGGAGGCACTCAGCATGATACTGTTGTTGACCCTTCTCGACGATCAGAAAGGCGGAGTCGATGACACATGAAACCCTCATGACGATCGTCGTCAAGATATCTGAAATGCGTCGTCGTTTGACGACTCTGGGGAGCGATGCTTTAGTTTCAGCTACGTCTCGCTTGACGTCGCTTGAGGATCGTGTCAGTCGTCATCGCCGCTCTTTGAAGCGTTTCTTTACGGAGACCTCCAGTCACTTTGAAGCGTCAGAGCATTTTTGAAGAGAGTTAAGTTGTCAAGTGGACCTGTTGGTGCGCTTGCAGCGCTTGTATGCACGTCCAATACCTTATTGTCCTCTGCCTTCTGCCAAGGAGATGAAGGATAGAGGCAACCCGTCAGATTCCATCGAGAAGGGTCCAAGGTACGGCTTAAGTAAGCTCACACAGAACACATGGTGTGCTCGCATCTTTTTGGGAAGACTAAGCGTAAGCTAAGCCTTTCTTTTATGCATCGGGGTACCCCCTCCGACGGTCGTCATTCCGGCACAGTGAGTGGCTTGGGGTCTCATCACGCAGTTTTGAAAACCCACTCCACCACACAGTCGAGTGTGCTGCGTATATACTCAATTGGAGCCCAACTAGCTCAAGCGAAAACCGCGCGTCGCCGGACCAATCACGCTCCTGACCTGCGTTATATCGTTGCTTTCAGATCAATCTGCACGGTTTACCGATACCCCGTCAAGAGCTTGCTAGCGCAACGAGCGCATGTTGGCGTCATTAATGGTCGCACTGATGAGATGAAGGGGTTCGGGGTGCTCCTTCATAAAGAGAACTAGGTTACGGCTACACATCACGTGCAAGGTATTGAAACTATCAGCGTGGAGCTCAGCATGTCAACAGTAAAGGTAATTTTGGGCGCTTGCGGCAATCTGGGTCGTGACGGCGAAGCACAAAGACATCCCTAACTTTTATGTTAAAGCTGAAAAGGAAGCCCGCTTGGAGATGCTGCTGCATGTTACACAGTCGATGGAAGTCAACGAGTACGCTTTCAAGACACTCAGCGCTAAGCACAAGAGGGATGTCGTACTCGAGCTGCACAAAAGCATGTACGGCTTCAAGCAGACCGGACGACTTTGGAGCCAGCTCATGCACGCTTCTGTGCTAGACTCTGGCTGCAGCCAGTGTGTCTCGAACATGTACCTCTACTGTAAGGTCGATTAAGGCAGCTGGTAGTCGTGGGTGTGTACGTAGACGACCAGATGGGTACCGGAACCGACACAGATGTAGTCGACCGTTTTTTCACCCAACTTGGAAGCCTATCCATTAAGGCGTCGTCAGCAAGTTTCTTGGGATGCGTGTCGCTATAGTCGACAACGACAGCTACGTGATGGACAAGTCGGAAGCGATAGGCGAGCTGTTGCGCAAGCATGGACTTTAGAGCGCAACCTCGACGCAAACCTCGATCGGGGCGTACAGCTATGAACTGCAGCCAGAAGACTGCACGCTGTTGGGTGCGAGTGCAGATGGCGGGAGTCCGAGCATCCGGACCTTTCAATCCCTTGTCGGAAGTCTACTTGGGTGGCCCGCTGCACGCGGCCGGACATCGCGTTTGCCGTGCATAAAGCAACGCGCCAGACCCATGGCTACGGCTGCAACTACCTACGCTTGCAGCCTGAAAAGTACGCACGATTTCAAGCTGCCCATGGAGCTGAAAAGGTCTTCGATTGCAAAGTGTAACTTGAGTACTACTCGGACACCTACCTCGCCGCTGACAAGTCGTAAAGTAAGTCCTTGACGGGCGGCATCATCCGGCCGAAGGGGATGCCGGTGATCTGGACATCGAAGAATCAGGACGGAGTGACGATTTCTACAATGAAGGCCGAGTTTGTCGCCGCGTCGGAGCAAGCGGCGAGCTGCTCGGCACTAGGGAGATGCCTTACGGAATCGAGAAGCCACCTATACTCTCAATAGCATTCCACGTTGGCAACCAAGCGGCGTTGAAGCAGTTAGCGGTCAAGGCATCGTTGCTAAAAGCAAAGCACATCGACGCGCGACTATAGTGTGTCTGCGACTACGCCCGGCGTGGTGTTTTCGCAACCCAATACGTGCGCTCGGAGCTGCAACTGGCGGACCTCTTTACGATGACCTTTGATGCTGCAACGCTTGCTAGATTGTGCAAGTTGCTGCGACTGGGCTAAATGCACGGAAGTCATGGCCGACGAGGAGTGTTGAAAAGAAGAATGTCGTCTTAAGTACGATTGCGCACAAGGCGTGCGGGACAACGACGGGAATGGCGGCCGCTGACTTTGTGATCGTATTGTGCATGCGTTTTGCGACATAATACGCGGGATTTGCTGATCGAGTGGACAGGAAGGATGGCGAGTAAAGGGTAGGTAAAGGCATAACGAAAGATAAGTTGCAGAATCATTTTACTCCAGTGCTCAAGACTACTTCACCAATTTGAGTTACAGGTGTCAAATTTCGGGCGTCATTGATTCGTGAAATCCTCTACGGCGTCCCAAATTTGGGATGCAAGAATACACTGATTCTAAGATGACATAGTGTTTTTTTTCTCAAGTCAGCAGCGACTAACAAGCTCACATGTATGAGTCTAGTGTAGACCGTTCATGCTCTGTCATGGATGCGTCAAAGTGCTTTAGAGCATTGATGCTGAGAACAGAGAATCATCGACGATCTGAGGACAACCACGGCGCAATGTCATTGTCACGAACGTCGGTTACCAAGCTCACACTACGCATATAGACATCACTATCGATTACTCCGTGAGTATGTGAGAATAGGCGTTAAGTTAGATCTTGAGGCCAAATGCAGTTTGTCAAACATCTGACAAAGAAGAAGAGTAATGGACTTAGTACCAAAAAGCTCCTGTGACAAAGAACGAGAGCTTGTTGCTACTAAGTCCAGTACACAGAGAAGACCGAACACTTCACTTTGCAACCTGTTTTTTTGTTTATCACAAGCTATCTACTCATTTTGCTTTTTTGCGTCAAGGTTGTCTCATCACTAAAGGCAACTACCGTAAGAGGCACTAAAGAATTCAGCGAGTCAAGAATAAAGAGGTCAGGCGACTTTTGCCGCTTTTACTCACAATGCTCATTCCTAGAATTTAAAGTAATTGGTATGATACAGATGCAATCGCAAATTTCAAACCTCAATCTCAATAGTTTTTCCGTTTTCGACAAGTTACAGCATTGCTGCATTAACCTGAGCGCGGTGAAATCTCAAAGTAATATCAATTTCTTCGTTACGTCGTGTGTAGAAAACTAATAGACTACATGGGCAAGAAGTGCGCAAAGGTGACAAGGCCAACGACTTTTTTGCGTCAAAAAGGAGCCGAACCGCTCACGATCCCAATGTCACTCAATTGCGGACTAACCACCTTGGAATGCGTCATACACATGCCTTGACGCTGTGACCACTTCTCACAATCAGTGACACAGCACTTGGTACCACCACCATGTTTACGGCATAAACGCTTCAGATGAGCCTTCTTTTCACAGCCTTCTACGATACATGGACGCCCGCCGCCGTGCAATTTGCATCGACCATGACTTTGCGACGCACGAGTGCAGCCACTTTCCTGACATCGTGATCCACCGCCGTGGCGGATGCACAGTCCACGACTTTGAACGCTCTTAGTGCATCCTGGACTTGAACAGCGCTTCGATCCGCCGTGCCGTTTACAACGATTAAAGGCTCGAGCTTGGCTCGTACAACCTTCCACACAGCACAGCTTGCGTTTGTCTGGTGAGAACTTAGGCTCGTGAGTAGTGGCCATATCCGTAAAAGGTTCTCTTAATCCACCTCCTCGCTTAGGTCTACCGCGCGGTGCAACAGCGGGGGAATAAGCGGGAGCTGTGCTACTGACACTAGATTGAGCTGGGTAATTGTCGATTGAAAGTGTCCGCATCGTCCGCGACGAGTTGCATTGCTCCGTGGGCGCCATTGAGGAGCGAAACATTGTCGACGTCATCTCTTGAGTCATGCTATTGTCAAAATTCCCATTATGGTCTTCCAATACGGGTGGTAGCAGCAGCTGTTGCTGTTGCTCGAGCAACCCAAAACTTGTTGGCGGTGTCGGCATCGGATTGTGCGTGCTATGGAGAGTTGGAATACCTGCAGCAAAGTAGTGAACATATTGGAATCAGCTTGACTTGTACAAAGTATTTGCATGCGCTCAACTTGGTAGCATATTTACCTTCAAAAAAGTAGTCCGCCGATGTCCTCGTAGCTACCTCCGGCATTGACATTGGCGTTGATGGTAAAGAAATTGGTCGTAAATAGTAACTGGCTGAATCTGGTGGAAGCTCCGAGTATTGCGAAGTCAACTGCATTGCAAATGGTCCACCAAACTGGGATTGAGGTGATGTTTGTAATTCTTGCTGGTGTGATGGGGGAGATGATAGAGGTGGCAGACTTTGTGGCAATGCGGTATTGTCAGGAAACGAGAAATTTTGAGACGAATAGAACGACTGAAACTCATTTTCTTCTTCCAGTTGTGGCATATGCAGCTGGCTTGCAGATTGAGACGTCATGCCAGCACCCCCTTCGTTGTCAAGCGTGCCTGGATATTCCGTTTTTAGTGACGAAGCCGATTGTGGTAATAAGACACGACAACCCCCAAATTGGTCTGTATTAAGTGTTGCCTCTTGTTTTTCTTCTTCTTCGTCATCGTAGTGATACCAGGGCTGCGATTGTAGCGGGTGTGTGAACTGGGGGCACGGGCGTGGCTTGGTCCACTCCATATTAGACGAGGCGAGGAGACCACGAGAAACAGTGGCGCAAGCAGCTCTCTTCCCAGATTTCAGCGTCAAAAAACTAGATCTAGCAAGGGGGGGGAATTCTACCATTATTCTCGTCGCTCAAGCACCTTTCTCATAAACCTATTGACCAGAAAAGGGAAAATAACCGGTCAAACTGGTAGATTTTGCTTCGAAGTATCAACACATGATAAAGTGGAAGTTCACCTCACTCAACAGTTACGATGATTTGGATGCTGGCTGGCTACTGAGCTTGAACTTCGGGTTGTCTGGGATCGTAAAAACCGAAACGCCCAGTACGTTCTTAACCTCCCACACCACGCTGATGGCGACGTGCACGTAAGCAGCAAGGGAGAGGAAGAAAAATTCACGCATGATGAGTTCTTCGTTGATAGCATCGTAGATGCCTTCTAACATACAAAACGCGCAGTGTGCAGCAACATAGAAGAGTGGTACTAGCGTCTTGCGGTAGGGATGATACTCTTCTCCGCACAAGTGAGCCAGCATCAAGTGCAACTGGTCAGCAGGAACAACACACAGCGGTTAGGAGCTAATGAGAACGGCTCCTAGCGTCATGTAGTATAAACCCCAGTGCACTCACCACCAGCTTGCTGTTCAACAGTCCCAGCATCCATAGAAACATACGCGGGTGCGTTGAGAAAATGTCCGAAGGAGAGTACAGAGCCCACAATCCAGCTAAAGTGTTGAGAACGACAAACGGCAAAAGTCGCGTAAAAGCGACAAGAACCGAGTCTTGGTTAAGGCGCACAGCATGAAGCGCGTTTCTCATACTGCAATCGCAAATAAAACAAAGTACTATCGCTATGAGAGTTACGCAAAAACGAATATTGAAGCAGTGGCAACACATACTTGACCAAAAGAGTAAAGAACGAGGTGATCATCGCCACAATCACAAACAGAGAGTTATTCTGCACGCCGTCAACCAGCTCCTGGTTCCAAAAGTCGACGCCAACGAACGATGTGAACAGCTTCAGTGCGATGCCAATGAGAATGCCTTCCGTCGGTCCGTTTACGATCGGAAGCTCCAGCGTCCCCGAATAATACCTGCCCAGGAGTAACAACACTATGAGCAATCTTCAACACCTACACGACGTCGCACGGCTTTCTCAACGCAAAAACTCAAGCCACTGACTCTTCCCACGTTGCAAAAATAAAGACAAAGTGACCGCTCAGTACAAAACCCAAAGTCTTCCACGTTGCCCCCATCTGCAGAATACTAGCCATCGTCATTGTACCCACCGACACATTCAATGCATCGCATCCGTGATCAAACAGCAGTCCCAGCGGTGAAGACGAATTGGTGCGTCGCGCCTGTTTGCCATCCAAATTGTCCAGCGTCTGGTACGCGAAAAGTGCAGCAGCAGCCGCCACCATGGCCCACCACGGGGCGTCACCTTCCAGCATAGGACACAGAGACGCAAACAACATGTGTGTGACGCCAACAATTATCAACCCAATGAGAGTGATAAGGTTTGGAGCCAGCCACAGCGGCAGCAGATTGATAAGGAAATTGTTCATGGGCATCAGCACGTGTTTGTACACGAGGGAATTGTCCGCGCCGTGATATTCGTAGGTACGAAGCTTTTCGGACCCTTCCTGCGACACGTATTTGCCAAAATACATTGACTTTCCGTCTCCACTGCTACGGTGCCGAACACGTTGCTTAAGTGCATGAATTTGCGAGGTTTTGAGAGCAGTAGGGGATTCAAAAAACATTGTTTTAGTGTGTAGCTGTAGCGCAAGAAATCGGTTCTATGGTAGCAGTGATAGAAACTGAAAGGTGAGTAGTGCGCGAAAGAAGCAGGACAACAAGACCAGCGTCGAACAAGGTTTGTATGATTACGAATGTGTGCAGATTGACTCCGCGAAAGAGAGACAATGGAGGATTGTTGCAATTGTTTTTGAACCATTGGGGATGGTTCATCAGCCTGAGATATCCATCAAGAGATTGTTTTAGGATCGTATCTATTTTAAAGTAAACAGATTAGCGTTAGTTAAGATGTTGTTTCTAAAATAAAGCAAGCATTGTTATCGCATAATAATTGGCTGTAATAATGATCGTCATACTCGTGATTGGTTTTTAAACGGCATATCGACAATCCTTTTCTGCTTCACTCTATTCTCTCTTCCATGCCTTATATTTAGAAAACCTTCAAGACCGCATACCGGTATGTTTTCCTTCATTTTGCTTTTTATAATAAACAACAAACATGCAGCTTCGACCTCGTGTCGCTTCTAGTAAAGCGCGTACTTCATCCGATTGTTCTTCCATTATACAGCGTCAATATTCATCCAATCTTCGAAAACGCTCTGCTTTGCCATGCAGTATCATGACCGCTAAAAAGCGCTGCCTGTTAGGAGGTGATGAGGAAGCCGAGGAAGCCAAGAGATGGCGTTTTCGCCTATTGCAATCTGCATTTGGACCCGAGGATCGCGTGGAAGAGTCGAATTGGCTTACAGGATCACTTATTGATCTAATGCTTTGGAAATTTGCCAATTTGTATCCAACGTTGCATTTCCTGCCCACTGCTTTCTATCATTTGCATTTAGAGGCTATGAATGTAATGTCGTCTCCGTGGCGACATCGACGTCAAGCGCATCGATCTACACGAGAATATCACGTATATGATGTCTTGGGACGTGTCGTAGACTACGAAAGTGAAGCACCGCTCGTGTTCATTGTGAACGTTGATCGGATTCACTGGAATTTGTTTCGTGTGCAGCTACAGCCGACTCCAGAACTGCAGCTTTTTGAACCAACGGGAAGATTAGCATTGCGGTCTGGAATTTCGTACCGGTCAGTGCCACGGACAGTGATTGAGTGGCTGGATGTGTGCTATCCGCAACATAAAGGGTGGCTGAACAGAACGGTTAGCGCTATTACGAACAAGCAACAGGTCAGTGGATTTGACTGCGGTGTGGCGTGTTTGATGTATGCTGACAAGTGTGGACGCGGGCAGAGTGTAGACGAGATTAACAAGCAGATTGATCAATCTGCAATTACATCCTTCCGAAAGCAGCTACAAATTCAGCTGCGCACAACTGTTGATGAGATTGATGCATGAGAATGCAAAGGTGATGGACGGTTTAAGTTTGATGAAGGAAGGGGCTTTCTTGCTCTAGAGCTGATTTCATTGTGTGAAGTGATAGGCTGTCTCGCTAGTCGTTTCGTTTGCTTCAGCTTACTTTGAGATTTAATATCAGTCGTTGATATTTTATAATGAAACGGCGCGTTAAATTAAGTCACAAAATACTTCTGTGGCCGATCCGGTCAAGATAACTCAGTCAAACGTTTGCACGTGTTCAGTCTAAAGTGCTGTTTTACAATATTAATAGAGAAATTTGATTGACAGCTGACGACATGTCAAGCTGTAATTGATAGATAGGCCAATTCAATACTGGTCCAAAGCAAGACATCGGTTTCAAGGCGGTTTCAGAGCTTTATTTTTAACAGGGCTGTTTGTCTTCACAGATTACTCAACACTAGCAGACGCCATCGCGACAAATGTATGTGAGGTCCCATATTTCGTTGATTGAGACGGACTGTGCATCACTTGCCCGTTTTTGGTTTCGACGACAGTTGAGAGGACGAGCTGGTATTGTAGTTGATCGGTCGTTTAGAGTTGAAGTCGTTGTGGACCATCTACTCTGTGTGGTGGCTGAGCAGTTAATCCTTGGACCTGTCGGTAGTTGTGCCTCAGATCCTATTTCTCTGTGCAATCCCAACGCGATATTTTTGGAATGGTCTGTATTGAAAACAAGGCATCGCACTTCGTGATCAGCTCGTCTGTAGGCAGCGCAGGAGGCTTAGATCCCGTATCTAGCCTTTGTGTTGATTCCACCTGCACCATTGCGTGCAGAAAGAAAATGCTACGTGGTAGTAACCAGGTCAACACTATGGGTCTTAGTTCCAGCGTCGTGCCAGAAACGACTCCCCCAACCGCTTCACCGCCAGTACGAGTCGCGTTTGTGTGGAATCTTGGATGACAACAGATGCAGCTATGGCAGCGTTCTTCCGCATCGGACTGCCAAACGGTATGCCATTCTCTTCTTTTTGTTGTTCATGCATCTTGGTCTAAGTTTGTTCGTCACCGTGTTTGAACAACACAGATCCAAGAATATTTACAGCGATCGTTTCATTCCGTCGCGGCTCACTACAAAACTAGATACTGACTTCGAACTTACAGCGGATTCGCCGCGCCAATGCAGAAATCAGAACTGTGATAACTGCGCGTGCCAACGCCAGGGTGGCTTTGTACCAAGTTTTTCTCCTGCAGGCACTAGCAGCTCGGTGGACTGCAATCCAAAAGCTCAAGGAACACAGGATGGATCTTCATCATCGTACTCGAAGATGCTGAAAAGAGAACTGTTCGGCATGCATTTGCCAACGCGCGCAGACTTCAGCGCCGGTCAATCTTCTGCCACCCTGAGCGTGGCTAGTCATGATAGCGCGATGAACGACACAGGGTCTTTTTCGTACGTTCGGGCTTATGATGGCAGCCCGGCATGCACAGGACCAAGCGGCACTTCGTCCCGCAATATTCTACGGTTCAAAGCTCCCCGACGATTGGTGTACGGTGACGTGCAACCCTTCATCCCTCGTTCGGGACTGACTGACTCTGCACAGCGGTTTCTTGGTGCAGGTTGGCATGGTAGAGAAAATCGCCGTCGACGTATTGCACGCACGCCCTTCAAAGTGCTGGATGCACCAATGCTGCAGGATGATTTTTACCTGAATCTCGTAGATTGGTCGGCCACAAATATCGTGGCAGTAGGATTGAGCTCCTGTGTGTATCTTTGGAGTGCCTGCACCAGTAAAGTCACGATGCTATGCGACCTTGGGCCTAGTGATTCCGTCACATCTGTCAGCTGGAGCCAAAGGGTATGTCTGCTGCTCTTGTCGCGGGGGAGTACTTTTTGTTCTAATGCTCTGTTCCATTAACTCCTTCAGGGAACACATTTGGCAGTTGGAACCAACAGCGGCAATTTGCAGGTCTGGGACGTCAGCGCCGCCAAAATAATTCGTATCATGACGTACGACCCGGTGACTGTACTTGATTGAATCTCACTATCATACTGACATTGTCGTTTGAACAGTGGACATTCAGCTCGTGTCGGGACGTTGGGCTGGAATGGCCAGTTGTTGGCATCTGGAAGTCGGGATCGCACCATTCTGATGCGTGACCTACGAACACAGGAGCCATTTCAGAACAAACTTGCAGGTCACAAGCAGGAGGTGTGCGGCCTGAAATGGTCCTTTGATGGTCGGCAGTTGGCCTCAGGAGGGAATGACAACAAACTGCTGATCTGGAATGTGCATTTAATGTCTTCGGGTCTACGCGAGGATGCCACGACACCTTTGGCACGATTTAACGAACACTCAGCGGCTGTAAAGGCCATTGCATGGTCACCACATCAGCACGGACTTTTGGCTTCCGGTGGCGGTACCGCTGATAGATGCATTCGCTTCTGGAACACACAATCACTGACAGCATTGCCTTTCGTGGACACTGGATCACAGGTGTGTAACCTCATGTGGTCAAAGAATGCCAACGAGGTGGTGAGTACGCACGGTTACTCGCTGAACCAGATTATCGTGTGGAAATATCCGACAATGACTAAGCTAGCTACGCTGACCGGGCATACCTTTCGTGTGCTTTACCTGGCCATGTCACCGGACGGCCAGACAATTGTCACAGGAGCTGGAGATAAAACTCTGCGGTTCTGGAACGCATTTCCGAGCACAAAAACCCAACGTCGAAGTCGTTTTGGGACAGATTTGATGCTGCCATTGAGGGTAGGCAGTGAAATTCGGTAATGCAACACGATGCAAGCTTTTACTACAGAAGGCTAACAACACCTTGGATGCCGGCAAAGCACTTACACCACCGTACTAATGAAGACAATATCTAAACATTTTCTTTATTTGTCGTTCTCTAATTTCGCTTGCCTCTGCCGCCTCGGCCACTTCGGCCGCTGCGTCCACCTCGTCCACCACGCCCGCGACCTCCTTTCTGCACACGACTTGCCGACTTGTATCGCTTGTCACCTTCTTTCTCCACCTCACCCTCGTCATCATCACGCGAGTAACGTCCACGCTTAGGACCTGTACCATTTGCAGCCGCCTCCTTCATCTCAATGGTAGCAATACGTTGCGCCTCATTGACTCGCTCCGACATAACCAGCACAGTTTCCTCTTCGCACGGATAAGCGTCCAATTTGGTGCCCAGCAAGTGTTCAATACGCTGGTACAGTTCGACGTCATATTGAGTGACAAATGAAATGGCCACACCAGCTCGCCCAGCACGAGCCGTACGACCTACTCGATGAATGTAATCCTTGCCGTGTGTCGGGATGTCGTAGTTGATGACCACATCAACACTCGGAATATCCAGTCCACGGGATGCCACATCCGTACACACCAGCACGTTTCTCGCCTTGGCCTTGAACTTGTTCAAAGCTCCAAGACGACTTGGCTGAGGCATTTGACCATGCAGACAAATAGCTTGAAAGCCCAAGTTGCGCAACATGAGTGTCACCTTTTGCGTGCCGTTGCACGTACTGGCAAAGATAAGCACAGATTGGCCTGCCACCTCATTGAGCACGTAAGCCAAATAGCAGTCCTTGAATTTTGCCGGAATAAAGAGGTAGTGCTGCTTTAGTGTCTCCGGTGTCGCAAACTTGTGCGTGATCTCCACCTTGACCGGATCTTTGAGCGATGCTCGTTGCAATTTCTTCACTTTGGACGTCATCGTGGCACTAAACAGGTACGTGTTGCGTTCAGTTGGCATGAGCTGTACAATCTGATTAATCTCCTCTTCAAAGTCCATACTTAGCATCCGATCCGCTTCGTCTAGCACCAAGTACTTAATTGTGCGAAGACTAAAGCCTTTCGTGTTCTCCAAATGGTCTACAAGACGTCCCGGAGTAGCAATGACTACATGAGGCTTGCGAGCTAAAGCTACCTGCTGCTGCATCATGTCGATGCCACCAACAACACAAGCACATTTTAGACCGATTGACGCACCTAAAGCCTCAAACTGTTCGCCAATCTGATACGCCAGTTCTCGCGTTGGCGCTAATACAAGTGCATACAAACGCTGCGGATTTTGCAGCAAACTTTGTAAGATTGGAATCACAAAGGCCCCAGTTTTGCCTGAGCCTGTTTCAGCCAATCCAATGATGTCTTTGCCCGCTAGACCATGAGGAATCGCTTGTTGCTGGATTTTACTAGGCGCCGACCAGCCTACCGCCGCAATGGCTTCACAGATCGATGAATCTACGCCTAATTCGGAGAATGACTTGGAGCCACTGAAGCCATCAACTTCTTCGTTATTGTCGTCAGCAGGAGCTTGAGGCGCGGCCATTAGGAACTCGCGGCTTTACGTAACGGTTTAAGAATTGGCTGGAGAGGAGATCTGATGTTTTGATTGGCTGTTGTCTAATAAGCTGTATTCATCTTGACAGGTTATATACTTAAACAGCGACATAATTAGATAAAAAATGATAATACATTTCTCTTACTTCAGGTAATGTAAAGTCTACTAAGCATCAAAATGGTGATAACAATTTGCTGAAGGTACAGTGAGTGGCAACAAAGCGTATGCAGAGCAGTGGAATGTTTTAAACTCTTGCTTTGTGCGATTGGGCGACGACGTGTTTTTGGGTGCTCGCTTGCATGCAAACGACATAAAGCCATCGAAGCCAACCGTATGCATGAAGTGCTGCAGGTGTTTACGACGGTATGTGCGTCTCCATGCAGCAACTGACACTTAGTAATACGTCACATGCATTGATAATAGGTCATATTGATAGTATCTGCCGTTGTGCTGGCTTTATTGCGTTTCTAAAGACACAAGTCATGTAAAATTGTTTAGTACTGGAGTAATCTCGTAGTCCTGCAAGCTTGCGCTGCTATACACGGGAGTCTCACTGTGTTGACGACTCCAAGTGCGACGGCCTTAATGTCCACAGTACCTTAAAGGGTGATTCGCAGCGCACTTCCATCGGTTGCTGCGGTGAGACACTCACTGCTACAAGCGGTCGAATCGGTTAGCATACTAGGTCATTGATTAAATGTCTGCTCGAGCCACTGTCGAGTATCCATTGACCGGGCGATTAACTTGCACCATGGTCAAGCCCGAAGACGAAGTTTGCGCCCGAAGACGAAGTTTGCGCCCGAAGTTTTTTTCCTATATTATCGGGTACCACGACCGAATATGTCCAGCTTCCTCACACTCAAAACATGTACGTGTGTCGATTCGTGATTGCGTCGGTCTCTGTTTAATCTTGTCTTTGACTCCTTCACGGCCTCGACAGTATTCATCACATCGCGCCCAAAGTTCCTTGCGTGGGTGTCCACCTCCGTCGATTAGGCAAATTGCGCCAATTCCTCTGCTTGCCGCAGGTGTAGTCGACGAGAATAGTGTTCAACCTGGACAACATCGTAGTTCGCATGTGTGGGTCAGCATAATGAACGATGTTGTCCAGAACAAGGCTGTCTGCACCCCCACAGGCATCGCTGACGTTCGTCGAATAAAGAAGTTGTTCCGTCCAGTTTTTGTGGGGTGCTTTGGATGCTGTGAACAATTTCATGCTCTGTGCTGGTGAAAGCCTTCAACATTTGTTGCATTGCGTGCTCTAAGGTTTGACTTTCAAGCCACCACCCCTAAATTTTCCGAAGGTAATAAATTTTTTTTTTTCCGCGTAGGGGTTAACATAAAAAAAAAAAAAAAAAAATTTTTCCCCAAAAAAAAAACAACACCCCCCCCCCAAAACAAACCACAAAAAAAAAAAAAACCCCCCCCCAAAAAACCAAAAACAAAACAGAAAAAAAGTTTCTTTCCTAAAAAAAAAAAAAAAAAAAAAAAACCATTTTTTTTTTTTTTTTTTTTTGGTTTTTTGTTTCTGGGGGGAAAAAAACCCTAGGAGGCAAAAAAAAAAAAAAAAAAAAAAAAAATTCCCCGCGGGCGTTCCCGTCCCGTATATCCCCTGGTCGAGTCCCTGAACCGTGTTGAAGTCCGGGTCTGCATATCGTGCAGGGGGCTCTTCAACAGCTGCCTGGTTTGTTGTCGCCGTATACCAAAGTAGGTCGCTGACTCACACGTTTGGTGATACCGTGGGAGGATTTCGTTCCAAGACCTCGATGTTAATCCCTGCCCCGACCTCCCCTTTCCGGTTGTCAGAACGTAACTCGGGTAAGTTCGTACTAAGCCTGCTGCCTTATTCACTCTGAGAGACTTCCATCCGATTCATCCTTTCGGACAGGTCCCCGAGCATGGCCAGCATTTTCTCAATCGCCTCCGCAGGCGCTGCTGACTTTCCATCGTAGGTAGTGATCGTTGGCCTTAACCTTGTCATCGACCACATGCGATAGGTGCCGCTGGTTTAGCCGCACCATCAACACGTGTGTTTGAGCTCATAACCTGTTAAATGTAGTTGCACTTGTGCAATAGAAGTATGAATTAGAAGTAAAATATATTGAGTGTTAACTGCCCTTCGTTGTCAACCCTACCATATGCAGTTTGATGACCAGCACTGTAATTTGACCTATTCAAGGTACAACTACCACGCATCCAGCGCGCCTATCACCATGTGTCCCTGGTCCCAGACGACGTCCGTATGCCTTGGTCCCACCTGTCAACATGTTAGCCACTCAGGTGAGGTTGCCCTTTACCTGTCATGGGTCTTGCAGTCTTCACTCCGAGCCTCCATGACACAATGTCTTTTAGCACAATGAACTCACATCGAGCCAAAGTACTTGCACTTGATTTAGTACTACAGTTATATTAGTTTATATATTAATGGAGCATTGTTTAATATACAGACTAGCATTAAGTACAGAGTAAATAGTTCTCTATTGGTGTTAGAAGATAAAATCCAATAATCATGTGTTAAACTAGCATCTCTAACAATCGAGCCCGAAACTATAGTATGAAATGCCGAGCATGCCATCCAAGTGCGAAGCATGCTGATCGCTCATAATATTTCGAGCAATCTTATTACATAGAAGTAAGCCTAATGAGTGAGAAATATAAGCTTTGTTACGGTTTACGGTAGCCGTTGGCTCTGCCAACCGGAGTCAAGGTGGTTATGGTGGAATTGTTTGGTTAGTGTGGTAAATAAATACGTTGACTTTACTGTTTCTACGCCTTTTTCTACTTTGCTATAGCTAGATCAAAAGTTTAACAGCAATTGTGGCTACATCTATGTTGTAGTCACGCTCGGCCACGCTATCCGCGGTGTTTCAAGATGGATATGTGTGGAGCTTCTTGGTTCATAGCTGGCCTGCCACGTCAACGCAACTCCAAGTAAACCAAGATAGGCCCTTTCTCGGTCCACGGTCTAATTTTTCTCAGTCTGACTAGGTCTGCCGCCGCCAGTCCCCTATCCACCAGCTTGCTATGTACTGCACATACCCACTACACGGATTCGGATCGTGTTTTCCTCGTGTCTATCATGCGACATTGGACCGCGGGTATTTACTTCTGGATATGACCAGCACGTTGGAAACACTCTCCCAAGCCATGCAGCTTTTAAAAATTCAAGACTACACACCAGGCACGCATGAAAGTGTATTACGTCGTATGCTACAAGGCTGCTGGCCCCCTCGTTACCGCTACCAACTCCGTTTCGGCATCACCATGACAACCTCACTACTCCTGTCTCGAAAATTTGGTTTCTACACCATCATTAGCACATTTCGCTCACTGTCGGTTGACCATTACGTCCACTACTTTCCTGTGCCTCTTGGTCTTGTCAGCCTAAGTTTACAAATCTTGACTTTCTACCTCCTCGCTGCATTTCCATAGATCACGACTTTATGCCCTGCCATTCATACGTGCTGCCGCATCAACTCTACTACAGCTGCTAGGCCAAGTTTCTTTCTCATTTTTTGCCATTTCAAATCCGATCTTTAGAACATCCTGCTGATACAATCTATCTATCAACCACGACACGACGTTTATAAGGATTCTCTTGCATCAGGTAGGCATTTACTGAATTGTCGTTCAATCGCCTCAGCATGCTACAGCCTCACGAGAGATTAAGATATACTGCACCTTGGTCTGTAAATATACGAAGGCAAGGTCACCGCCTAGAGATTCGAGCCCTAGCTTTTCAGCATCCTGGCTACCTTTACGGAAAGCAAAGTGGTTTCTATTTAGTGACATTGTCATCTACGGAATACTATACACATAGTGCTATCCTACATCTTAGCATAAGCCGGGCATTCGAGATTTGAATCAACAACTTTTCCAGCCGACGAATGTCATATTCCGAAGCTCCAATGTGTAATATAAATTATACTGTCACTGCATACATGTGGGCGTGACACCTAGTTAGAAGCTGTAACCGTATTCGCACAAAAGAACGTAATTAGTGTGGTACACACTGTTTCAGTATTTTGGTCTTGGTGGTTGAAGGTTATTACATCGAATCTGAAGAAGTACAGCTGTTACCTACTGTACCCTGTAGCATACTTCAAGCAAGCTGTTTGTAACCCTGTTACAAAATCTTATTTTCCGCCTAAAAGCGCTTGCCATGGTTGCCTAGCGGGTGCAATCGACTATTTGCATCAAATTTCCATCAAGTTCGGCTGATTAAATTTTTTTTACAATTCTCAAATCTGTTTCTCTGCTCATGACTAACAAGAAATCAGCTGACTTGGCCACGCTCATCGCCACTTTCAACACCTCAAACTGACCTATATTGAGGATCTTTTTATACTTGCATGTACCAGGTTAGTAAAGACAGCACTCAGCTTCCAGAACAATTCAGCTGACAAGGTACACCGTAGGTATATCTTTATGGATGCATTCATATCGGGCATTGGTAATCGTCACTACCATGGGACCATAAGGTAAGCATATATGCGGTGCATCTGGCAGCTGGTAAAACTGATACCAAAGATCACAAGGTGGTAATGGAAACGTAGGCGATGGAAATATATCGTAGATATCAGGCTTCGATGTAACATGGTTAGCATGAGCACTAAGGCCCTCAATCGATACATCACTTCGGTAGTTGACTTAACAAATTCAGGTGCTAAACTTGGTGACATCAAATGTGTGCAACGCATGGAATCAAACGACTTGAGCAAGTGACTGAGCAAGATCGACGCGTTAAAAATTCTCAAAATGAAGTGAGAGGGGTAACGGTTGCAAATTCTAGTGAACGAGGATTACGTGATTACGAGAGAAACGTGTACATCGGTGGCAACCTTATGTAGGGGGTCAATTGTAGTAAGATGATTCAGCACAATCTCAATACAAATTAGGTAAAAAACTAAGACAGCGTCTTCATAAATACTTAGCGTTGATACGACACATCATAGCCCGATGGGTATGCTAGCAAAATTACCGTGATG